ATGAACGTGAAACTGAGCGCAACATGCACGAGCACAAAACCCTTCCCTGCCTCCTCCCCCGTATGAATATGCTAATGACTATACTTTGGCAAAACCCAACGAAAAAGCAATGGCTAGCAAGCCAAAAGAGAAACCTTTTACAGAATGTGAATTGGAGGTGCTGCTTTCGGAGGTAGACCGGAAAAAAGCGGTGTTATTTGCAAGTTTGTTCTCCGGAATTGACAACAAAAGAAAAAAATATAGTGGGAGAGTTTAGCTAATGCGGCTAACACAATTGGGTCTGAACATCGCACCGAGTGAAATAAAAAAGAAATAGTGTGATTTATAGGTGTAAAATGTTGCAGTACCTACAACAGTCTCAGTGGCGCAGTTCGTAAAACGCAGGTTAACATGTTTTGACACGTTCGAGCATGAACTCGGTTCGAATCCAGCGTCTGATGAACTCTTTCTTCTTTTTTCCCCCGCTACATATCAGATTATCACGAGAAAGACAAGTGGGAATCATTAATAAGTTTGTGAATCATATTTTATTTGCACATTTATTGAATGGAAATGTTTCTGATTCACGCATGCGAATTCATCTTCAGATAGTGTCTTTATAGCAATGTGTGTGCAGTAGATAGCTCAGATTACATTGGGAAAACAGGCGACCGCTGCAAATTGTGCTTTGATGTTTAGCTGGTCAACTGTATGGTATGGAAACCATATACCTGCTAGATGAACCTGTCTCATACAGCTGCCATTGCAAGGCTCAGACACTTTGTAGAGAGGAATTTAACACAACTGCCTCTAGGAGTCGCCAATGGAAATAAAACAGACACGCACAAAAAATGTGCGTACGCCAGCCATAATGCTAGCGTGGTGCTGCGCACATTCCCACGTTCAGTTCATCGTTAGTAAATCCAAACGTGAGCGATTCTGAGCGTGAAACCTGGCGTACGCAAAGTTTTTGTGCGTACGCAGCGTTGATACATGAGGCCCCAGATCTGTGTCTGATTTAAGACTACATATGAGAGTGGTACAAATCTAACCTGAAAAAAATCTGATTCCATGCAGTTTGGGCTGTTTACACTGTCATTACTCGAGTCACATGTGGGCAAATTAAATCTGAACTGGTCCACATTTGGCTGCAGTGTGAACGTGGCCTAGACTGCTTTAAAAGGTCATTTTTCCAATATTTAAATTTGTTTTTAAGATCCCATATTATGGATTTTTGAAAATGTCCTTCCATGTAGCGTGTAACACAGCTCTAAGTGAAGTGAAATATCCAGCTAAGGCTTAAAACTGTAAGTGTACAGTGTTTAAAACTGTTGATTCATCTATAAAAGAGTCGACTCACAGTGCTTCAAACGAGTCGTCTTGATAAAGAGGCATTAGGTGTATCGCCATGACGTAATAACGAAACCAAGTAGTTGCACGCACAAACTTGTGAGATTTGAAACCTGCGGCCCCGCCCTCTAACACAGCAAAAGCCACACACACACACACAAACATGGCAGTCGATTGAAGTCAGACTGCAGACGGAAATTATTGAGTCTCTACCCAAAGATGAAACCTCAGCATTAGCCCGGCATTGAGCAGTTGGAAACTACTGGAAACTACATGCTACAAAGAATACTTCATCGGTCGTTTGTTAAAGAAAGGATCAGTAAAGACTGCTGATGGACATGCCAGGACATGGATCGGTTTCTTCCTCCATTTCTTAAGTGTAAGTACGTGCGATTAAAGTTGTTGCCTCGTTTACTCTAGCTTGCAAATGTATTTAGTTATGATTTGTTACTTATAACCGCTTGTACTGTATCAGGTTAACTCGCTATATTCTCGTATCGTGTGCAAAGCCACGTTAAAAAATGTGACGCGTGCCGCTTTGTTTGCGGACCTCTGTGGAGGAGGGTAATGTGTGTGTGTGTGTGCGCGTTGTCGTCCGGAGGAGGATTATGTGTGTGTGTGTGTGTGTGTGTGTGTGTGTGTGTGTGTGTGTGTGTGTGTGTGTGTGTGTGTGTGTGTGTGTGTGAAAAGAGCAGAGTGTGACAAGCTAGGAGATCTCCTCGCCAATTCTTGGAGTTTTTGCTCAATAAAATAGTTAGTCGTTGGTATTTTCAAGTCCATCGCCTGTATTTACATTCACCCACTGGCAGCTAAAATCCACACCTTACAATATGAAGTGTGTATGCACTGTGACTACTTCTATATTGTTGATTAGCTGCTGGGCATTTCACTGTCTCTCGCTGAAGGTAGTCAGTGTCGACCAATCGCAACAGACTGTCATCGGTCCAATCAGCGCAGATTAGTTTCAAGCTAAGGAGGGGTTTGGGAACAAATGAATCACTGGACGATTCATATGGTAGTCGCTGGGATAATTATGTAAAAATAAATGCAAATTATAAGACCATGAAAGTGTTTTTTGACCTTGCATGCATATTAGACTGTTGTTGGAGACCCTTACAGCCCTATTTCATGTATAATATGGGCTCTTAAAAAATATAAACATTTCAGATTCCAATTTTTTTTTTTAATAGTTTTATTCTGTTTGGATTTTGGAAACAATGGATATCCTATCCTAACAAACCACACATCCAAGAGAATCTTATTTTTTAAGCTATCAAAGAAAGCTTTAAATAGTGACATTACCAGGTCAAGAGCCAGTTTGGTCTCATGGGCAAGAGCTCTCAAGGTCAGAACTCCATTGCGGATGAGATGAGTGCCCACATTTTCCACCACATCACCAAAGTGCTCCTGCAGCAACAGCCCACACAGACGCACCTCCTGTGCTGTCATCTGTAGGACAGAGAGCAACAATCAAATCACAATCTGTAGTCAATTTATCTATGAATAATGTATAATTCTTTTTAGACATGTCAACTTGCAAACTAGTGTTGGTTGGTTTTTTTGCTCTAATTGCACAATTAGTTTTTTTCCAGCCTATTCTTGTTTCAGACTTGCACACAAAACGCATTGCAATCAATTTCCAAAATGTCACTTGTGGGAAAATATTACAAAGCCTGGGATTTTAACAGAGACCAGAGATGCTGAGAATGGATAACAAGACAGAACAGCACACAATATGCTGAACCAGGCAAAGTAAGATTTTTGTAAGGATCTCAGATTTTTGTTCTTTATTAAAAACACTTTACAAATGTACAAACCTTGTCATTGTCCTCAGCCAAATTGAACGTTCAGGTTTAATAATTTTGTGATGCTAAAAACTGTTATTTAGAAAAAAGAAAAACTTCAGAAATAGCAAGTTTAAGTTGCTATCATACACGTAAACTGATTAAAAACATGAAATTATAAAGTCTACAAATAATTACTACAAATATATATTACAAATACTTTTACAATTGTCCCCATGTTTCTGTCAGTCCTGTCACATTTGCCTTAAATTTAACATAAAATGTGTGCTATACACCTTTAAGGCTATGACTTGGAAGTGGCATCATTTGATGGGGAAGCAGACATCAAGGATACATTCTATCATTAAACTGTTTTATTTTTTATTTTAATTATTTATTTATTTATTTATTTTTTTGAGGAAGACAAGCTTAAAGGTCAGGCCCTGTCATTTATTTTATAAATAAAAATGTATGTTTCTGGTAGAATGTCTCATATATTTGGAAATCATTAAATCTAATTTGTACAGAGCACCTTTGTATATGCCTCATATGTAGTTTTCTATAGGTCAGCAACTAAAAAGGCAAATCAAATATTGTTCATGCACTTGATGTTCTTGTTCAGTCACTTAATGTAATCATTTTTCAATGTGTGCATACAGTTGTCAACATTTAGTGAATCAACTTTGATGAATATGTTGACTAATATGTTATCAGTTATTAATGTTTACATACATGATTTCGTGTTATTTATGGTCTACCCACATTTCCTTATTAATAAAACTGCTCACAATTTTAATATTACAGTTTTCCTCCTTAATCTGTAACGTTTACCTGTAACCATCAAAAATACATGTAAAGTCTTGTAACTATACATGGAGTTACTAGAAACACAAGCTACACAAGCTATAACTAAAAGCATCAGTTTAAAAACAAAACATTTTGTCAACAAAGTGCAAAAGTAAACATTCATATTTGCGTTTTGACTGGCTACTAACACTGGATTAGCGCAGAATTAGTTGTTGTCTGGCCTTTCCACAAAGCAAACATCTCACAAAGGCTAAACAAAGCACAGATGCACATGCTTAAAGACAAACTTACCTCTAAAAAGTAAGTTATCTAGATATCCGTATGTGTTATTTAGATGAGTTCACACTTTTTGATCTCACGTGTGTTGTCCAGACGGTGTGCAACGACAAGCACTGACGAATTTCCGTGGTTTGATCACGTGGAGGCGGAGCTCTGGTGTGTGAAGCTTGAGTGAATCGCTATCATGAACGGAATCTTTTTGCGGATCAAAAGAACCGAATGAATAATGAAAAATGAATCACTGTTTACTCACACTCGGGTGTTTTTTATGAAATTACTTTTTTTTATTTGAATAAACAAAAGGGTATTTTGAAAAAAAAAATGTTAGGAAATATCAGTTTCAGGAAAAAATACTATTTAAGTAGTTTTTGTTTTGTTTGTCAGAAGTCAAACAGGTTTGTAGGTAGAAGAATATTTTTTTGGAGTGAACTACAATTATCAGAGTAAAGTTCAATTAGGTGAATTACATGCTAACATATAATATTAGACTGACATAATAGCATATATAATAATATGTAATGGTCTTTTTTTGTTTTAATTTTACATTGTTCTCGAATAAAGCCCTCTCTGATCCCTGTAATACTAGTAAAACGCACACTTCACACAGCCTTATGTAAATAATTTTGACTCAGTATGTTGTTTTGATCAGCTCAGTCAAACGACTCCCCTGAGTGAGTCGACTCGCCTCAATGACTCGCACTACTGAGTGCTCATTGCCAAAGCACCTCCCTCTGCAGTGGGCGGACCGACGCTCGGCCAGCGCTGCTGCTGCTGTTGCTGTTTGGGACACAGGCAGTCTCACAGAAAACATGGCGGAGGCTGCTGCGGTCCCTCCGCATCGCTTCTTCTGTCACTGTTGTAAGGGTGAAGTGAGTCCCAAACTACCGGTGAGTCCGTGTCGCTGGTAGCGCGCAGCCGGCTCAAGTTAATGTCTTTCTGTAGTTCTGCTGTCGCTCTCGCAGGTTCCGCTGTTGTGCTAAAGTTAGCATGTTAGCAGTGTATCAGCCTGATGTGGGCGAAAGGCCTGTCGTGGTTTGTTGTTTGTGTATAAACACTAAAAAACACATGTATTTACCGATGACCGGTTTTATTAGATGTTAGACAGGTGCTTGTTAACGTAACATAAGCGGAAACCAACAGGTTTTGTGTTTAGCACCAATGCTACACTCATTTCTTGTGTTTTTGTACTGTAAATGATGACTTTTTCACATTTCACGACATGTTCAGTTTTGATAAGTGTTCAGTTATTAATGTCAGCTTTTAGAAACTTTCAGAAATGTCCTTAAATCACATCGACACTGAACTCTTCTCAGAAGTGAAACCGGAGTGCTAATGTTTCTGTTTCTGTTTTACTTGTTTATAATGTCGCATTTGCCGTAAATTATATCACAAATTCTGCAATGAACGTCAACATTTAGCACTTGGTGGTCAGTGTGTCAGTAGGTCATTAGATTGTCCCGGTGAGGATGAGTAGTGTGTATTGTTAAACACATGTTTGCTACCCATTTTGTTTAGTAAGTTAAACCCCTTGACATGATTCAAAACTGGTTCATACTGTATAAGGTATGAATAAAGCAGAATAATAGTCCACATGCCGATATAAGCAGCAACTGTGCTTCTTTTGCTGGAGACCGACAGGATGGCCTGTCTTGACCTGTTTAATCCAAAAAAGAAGAAAAAAAAAAATAGGGAAGAAGCCTCTTGAATCAGCCAGCAATTGTTGTGACACACTTCATAGGGAGTGTCTGGACTCATACAAGACTATTTGTTTTAAAATTCAAATGAACAAACATGTGTAGTACTATGCAAATGCATGTCCTCATAATGCCGCAGCTATCTGTATGTTTATTTACACTGTCCGGCTTTTCTGTGTTATATTGTGATTGTGATTTTTTTTGTTTTGCTTGCTTGCAGGAGTATATCTGTCCCAGATGTGACTCTGGCTTCATCGAGGAGGTTACAGAAGACTCCAGGTGAGCTGCACTTCCTTATTCGATTGTTTCCATTGGCATGTTGTAACTCCTGCTCTTTCGGTGCTTTCTGGAGTATGTAAATAAACTGATTGGTAGCACCACCAAACGGCCTGATAAATAAAAGACGCGAGCATGGGTTGAAAGCAACTCCTTGATAATGTTATGTTGTGTTAAATAAATCCAGTCAATGTCATAGATCATTCGTAGTTTGTGCTGACAGTGGGGCTTTGATTTGATTATATCGCATTGCATTTCATTTAAGCTTAGTTTTTGTTTTGTCAGAGATGTTATTTAGATCTGTGGTTCACAGTGCTTGTGATGCTGTAGCACATAGGGGTAAAGTTGGCTTTATATTCGCACGTTCATTCATTTAGCATTCTCTATAGAGCAGGGATGTCAAACTCAATTCCTGGAGGGCCGCAGCCCTGCACAGTGTAGTTCCAACCCTAATTAAACACACCTGATCAAACTAATTGAGTCCTTCAGGCTTGTTTGAAACCTACAGGTAAGTAGGGTTGGAACTAAACTGTGCAGGACTGCGGCCCTTCAGGAATTTAGTTTGACATCCCTGCTATAGAGTTTACCATGTTACTTTGAATATTCAATTGGAATTAACATGCCACTATGACTTCTAAACAACATTAACACTATCTAATTGACTGTGAACAATGCTGTACTTTGATAGTCATTTGCTGCTAATATGATTTCCCTTATTAGAATTAGCATAGAAGACTTCTCTGAAATTAAATTATTAAGGAGAAAGTCTATAGCACTGCACATTGTGGAAGTCTCCTCTTTTTACCTCACTTTATCGATTATCATTAGGCCTTTAAAGTTGATAGTTCAGTTAAAATTATGTCATCGTTTACTCACTCTGCACTTGTTCCGAAATACTCTTCAGGATATCTAATTTTGTGTTCAGCCGAACAAATAAACTTATAAATGTTTAGAAACAGTAGAAGCAATTGAGGGCGTTTTCAAACGTTTAAATTTGATTTACCAAAGTCAGACAAGTACTATTTTCAGACCTGTAACACCAGAACAAAGAGATGTCACATCCATAATAAAGCTTTTTCCTCATAAGTGGGAAAAATGTCAAATAAAATGAAATCAATCATGCTTGTTTTATAGTGAGGCAGCTCTTATCCTTTTGATAAGCATTATTTCATTTGGGTTGTGTAGTTTAATTCACAGAATTTCTACAAAGTATGTTGTATACTGTAAACACACAAACTTTTTTATTCACATCCATAACGCATGTTCATTTTCCCTAGGCTGAACAATAAACTGTTTTAGCATCGATGTGTGCATGTGTCTTAAATTTTAGTCCAAAAATCTGCATTTCAAAGTAACATTATTACAAAAACAAAAAAATTTGCTTACCCCACTGGCAGATAGTTGTGCTTGTTTTAAAGGAAAAAACTCTTCATTGTGACTTATTTATTCTGAAGGTAAAAACAAGACAATAGTTTTACTTGCGTTAAGGATTTTTTGATATTTGGACTAGAAAGGAGACAAAGTCAGAACAGCATTTTTTTGCATCGTGATTTTTCAATTTCTGCACCTGAATACTTTTAGACTCCACAGGAAACCCTCAAATTGTGCTATTCGAAATATCTTGTGAAACTATTCATATCCCAATATTTATTGCAGAAAAATTAAATATCGCTATATCAGATATTTTTAATATATAATAAGTATATTTTAACACTTTTCTGACCCCATAATTCTGTGGTTCGTTTTTTGGAAAACAAACAGATGTTTATATAATGTTAACATGTACTTTGTGAATTTATGTTTTGAGATTTTAAATTCATTCATTAAAATAGACATGCAGACTTAATATTTTATATATAAAAAAAACTGTCAAACATTTTGCTTAGTATCTTATTACTTGGCTTTGTAATGTTGATTAAAAAAAAAATATGTATCATCTTTCTTTAGTGTTGGTCTAACCATTTATTTGAAATGTAATATAACACTTTGTATACATAGTAAGAAATGAAGTATGATTTAAATGTTTAAATATTATCATTTTGTAAAACATTTGTTTAAAAAATGAGGACTTATGTGGATTATTCAGGATCGACCTGGAATGGCAATTCTTTACACTAATGTCTACTAGTTAAACCACTGACTAACAATAAGCTATTTATTTGATACAATGTTGATCAGTCTTCATTAATGGCAATTAATAAACATACACAACTGTTCATTGTTAATATGTTAGCTTGGTCCAATAAATAGTATTTATTAATTCATTTTTTTCATCAAAAGTGGATTTGTGGTAATGATCACTTTAAGCTTAAGTATTTTTCATGTTAACTAGATTTAACAAATAGAATTGTATTGTGAAATGTAATCCATAAAACAGGAAATTATATTATAGATCCTGCAGATCTTGATGAACAAAAAGCTCTTTTAAAAGAATCAGATTATTTGATGAATTTCTAACATAGAAAGTGTATTTCATTTTGTAAAGTGTCCATTGGTGCGACCTTTCTAATTGTAATATGTTATAATTTGTTAATAATTCATGATATATTATAATTTTTTTTTAATGTACCCAATTGTTCATTTCTAAAAAAATAATACTAATTTAGTTTAGTTTTGAACAGTCTTAGGCAAGTAGAAAATTCTGGCAAAGGAAACTTAAGTTTTAAATGAAGATATGTATAATTTATTGTAATATAATTACAGGGCTCGAAATAGCAACCATTTTGGTTGCATATGCGCTGGAAATTTAAGCAATGCGACCTCATAATATATTTGGGAGCATTTATGCGACTGCATTTAATGGTTTTACTGCGACTTGTTTTGATTTTTTTCTAAAAACATGCTGAATCGCTTTTGCCTGCCGCTATATTAGTTCATATTCATATTCACATCAGCTGTCAATCACTCAAGACTTTCTGCTGTCAGATGACAAGGAGCTTTTTTGACCACGGGAAATGCAAACAGCTGAAGAGTGAAAAGTACACAGAATCTCGCGTGTTCAACGCAAATGTCCGCTAAATGTGAAATCTATCACTGTACAAGTCATCGCCAAAGAAGCTCGCCTTTACTACATTTAAACTGATGCGGCTTATAACAAAGAACGGTATTGCGCCAGGGGTCATCATGAAAATCTTGCTCTGCCCCCCTCATATATTGGTCCGGCTGACTTGTCAGGTTTCCACAAACACAGAAAAATAAAAATCAGCGCATAACAAGACTTGGCGTTAAAATGACACAAAACGAAACCTAAACTATTAAGTGAGACTTTTCTTCCTTTCTTTTGTCCGTTGTTTCTTAAGGTGTATATAATTTTACTATTTAATTACTGATGACTGGTTTGCAGTTTTCAGTTTTGAATTGAATGATTTATTATAATCTTTTGTTTGTTTTGTAGCAGAAATAGTATTTATTAAATTGATTTGCATATAAAAAAAGTGCAAAGTAAATATTTCTTACTGCAATGCTTCATTTGTGTTTCCAAACCAACAATTTATTTTCCATAAAGTAACAGTAGGACTTTTTATAGCAGATCACTCGCATTCAGGCACATTTAAGGCAGCATGACCATGAGAACCGTAATTCATTGTTAGTATTATTCATTAATATTTAATAATTATTAATAATTAATAAATATTGCTATTTCATTTTGGAATTATTGCACAAATATTAAGTCATCTAAGTATTAGTTAGATAGTTGTTTCTGATTTTGGTTAGTCCTAACTGATGTTGTTTTCAAATATAATAAATCCTTTAATATACAATTTGCAGCAGTGTTTATACACTTTTGGTGGTTGCTCCTAAATTTTTTCTGCTGCTCCTAAATTTTTTCTGCTGCTTCTAAATATTTAAAGTTGTGCGCAGCACCGGTGCTTCCAAGTAAAAAAGTAATTTTGAGCCCTGAATTAATATAATTACTCAGTTGTATTTTAAAATGCACTTGTTTTACAGTCTTAAATATTTGATGTTTTAAAGATTATTGTAATAATATCAATAAAATATTACAATCAAATTAATTATAGATTTCAGATTAATCAATTAGTTATTTGCTTATTCACATCTGAATATGTTGAGTAAAACGCTGTACTGACTTGCATTTAACTTTAATACTTTTTAGATTTAGTCTGATGCTGTGGCAGTTTTTCTCTGTAGTATTGAATATATTGTTCTTTTTTTTAGTATTGTGTCTGAGAAAAATAATCTATTTATAAAAAAATTAATACATTACAATACTTTAAAAAAATAACTATATTGTAATCAGTATAAATTAAGTTAGCATATATGGTTTCTCGCTTGATAAAATGGTTAAGTATTTGTTTGCTTATGACTAAAGCACACATGAAAACAGATATAACCAGTTTCCTTAGGAGGTGTCATCATACGAAAGAGCTGCTCTGAGGTCATCGGAAGTTTGGGCACCGTAGTCACTAATGCAGCTGCCTTGACATTCAAATGAGTGAGACTTACAAAATGTGCACGTCTAGAATGAGAAGCACTGGTTCCGTCACTGTGACAATCAGCTGTACTGTTTTTTGACATGCTAACAGTTTGACATGAGTGTGATTGTTTTCATCCTCAGCCTTCTGGACAACAGTTCAAATGGCCTTGACGACACAAGTTCACAGTTTGCTGAGGTTTCTGGACTCCTTATTTCCATAACTACTTTCCTGAGAGTGTGTAGCTGTTGATAAAGCACTTTGTCCGGCTTCTTCATAACACTCTGTTTCACTATAGCTGTGGCAGCTGTTGTTCGTGGAGCGGCCGTTCGGTCTGGATCTGGACAGTCTTGACTCTGAGCGGCTTCCAGGAGGGGGCAGTGGGTCTGGGGGTTTCGGAGCAGGACCGTTTGGTGGGTCTGTCCCAGGTGGGCTCGGTGGGCCTCTGGGTGGACCTCTAAGTGGGGGAGAGCACTGGGGTCCAGGTCGTCCTCCTCGTCTGCACACTCAAAGGAGATACAGATCCAGAGGAAGCAGTCGACCGGATCGCTCGCCCGCTGTTGAGGGGTATGTTAAACAATTTTTACTTGTTCTAGATTCCTGAAATGTGGATTTGTTTTTGTTCTCTTAAGAGACGGTTTGAAAATTGCATCCACTGATTTAATGTTTATGGTTATAAATTTTATCATGGTGGAATAATACCTGAAAATGTTAAAAAATAAAGTCACAAATACTCAAAGAGATGGAATAATTCAAATTCTGTGCTTACACTTATTCAAAATGAATGACTTTTCTTCTGTTGAACACAAAATAAGATATTTTGAGGAATGCTGGTAATTTTTTCAAAGATTTCCTGGATTTAAACATTTTTTTTAAGTTAAGCTGTAGTGTCTGTAGTGTATGTGTGTGAATGAGAATGGATGGGTGTGATGGATTGCGGGTGGAAGGGCACCCGCTGCCTAAAACATATGCTGGATAAGTTGGTGGTTCATTCTGCTGTGGCAACCCCGATTAATAAAAGGACTTAGCCAAATATAGCCAAATATATTTAGAAAAAGCATAAAAATATTTATGCAGTAATGTTGCATTGTAAATGCACCATTGAGCTTCATTAAACATTCTGTTTAAATACTGATGAACAAGCACATTACAAGGCTCGTTGTCAAGCTTTTTTAATAAGAAATGCCTTTTGTCTTCTATTGACAATGATAGTTTTGCATGCTGCTTGTGTGTATCATGCACCTCACGTTTTAACTGAGCTCAACCTCGTCACTTTTTTTTTCTCTTTCGTTGTCCAATAGAATGAACTGAGATGTGGGCTATCAATTGTGACAGAACAGCTGATTCAGTGGTTGCCTAATAACATGAAGTAACACAGCACACTGCAGCATGCCTCTTGTATTCAAAGCTGAAAATACATGTTCTGTGTAAAGGCCATAAAGATGCTGTGTTCAGTTTTTGGCTTCAAATTTCATATACAATAATCTTAATAGAAAATCAATCAAAAGGTGTCTGTTATTTACTTAGTGTGCATTGGGCACTTAATGCTGTATATTATAAATGTCTAGAATATTGCATTTAGATTTCTTCAGTAATTATGAAATAAACCTAAAATTAGTGGCATTATTATGAACACATAAAAATGAAAAACAAAACTTGTAATAAAATAACCAGTAATTTTAGGCCTCATGTAGTATTTCTGTAGGTAGCATATTTGTTCTGTTGAATCTCTGGTTTTAGCAGCATGCAGGACACAGTAAAACAGTTTTGTTCCTCAAAAAATGTGGATGACCAAATGTGTAGTGCTTAACATTGCTGCCAATATATGCATGCACTGGATGAGTCAGCTGACAACCCCTGAAATATCAATACAAAAATGAAGGAAGTTGGCAGAATTCCCCAGAGCCAATATCAGTTCCTCACCGATGTCTCCTCTCTCCTTCTAGAATCGTACAGCAGTTTCTCGCAGGCCTTTTTGCCAATTCAGGAGTACCAGGCTCTCCTCCAGTGTCATGGTAAAGAATACTTTAATATATGGTTGAAAATGCTCAGTTTCTCTGTATTTATGTTTTTTTCTGTTTTATTCTGTAAACTACTGATGACATTTTTCCCATATTTAAATGTTTTTATTTAGAGCATTTTTACATAAAATAATAAGGATGCTGTGTTTTTAAACGTTTTCTATTTTTTTTTTTTTTTTGTAAAATAACACATTTTAACCAAAGAGGTGGTAAGAAATCAATGAGTATTGGATTGGAACCCTTGTTTTCAATCACAACAAATTAAAACATATCTGTATTCTCATTTTGTTGAAATGATATACAAGTCTCTCTGTATATAATTTAAATATCTGTTATGTATAATTTGAACAAAATTATATGTGTGTATATATCATTGGACATTTTAAGTGGATCAAAAAATTGTATATTGTCCTTAGACTAGAATGAGTGTTCAAATGACATTTTTATTACAACTTGTGATGAAAGATTTTGATAAACTTCAAATGTTGACTACTACTTTATATATAATGAGTGTAAAACCAATTATCTTTTAAATTAATGATAAGTTCATGGTTACAACTTGATATTTGTATGTTAGGACGAGCATGCTGCACTCAAACCCCGGGGACTATGCGTGGGGCCAGGGCGGTCTGGATGCAGTCATCACACAGGTAGTGGAACAGCAAAGTGTGTGTGTGTGTGTGTGTGTGTGTGTGTGTGCATTAGGGCTGCACAATATTGGAAAATGTTATTTATTCATTTTCAACCACTTTTCTGGGGCCGGGTCGCAGGGGCAGCAGTCTTAGGAGAGAACCCCAGACCTCCCTCTCCACAGACACTTCCTTTAGCTCCTCTGAGGCGATCCCGAGGCATTCCTCCTGGTGGGACATGCCTGGAACACTAGGTAAAATCTAGGAGGCATCAGAAACAGATGCCCAAGCCACCTCAGCTGACTTCTCTCTGTGGAGGAGCAGCGGCTCTTCTATCTATGAGGGTGCGCTCTGCCACCCTGCAAAGGAAACTCATTTTGGCTGTATCTGAGATCTTGTCCTTTCAGTCCTAACCCAAAGCTCACGACCATAGGTGAGAGTAGGAACGTAGATTGACTGGTAAATCCCACAGACCGGTACCACAACGGACTGGTACATCGACCGCATTAATGCTGCTGCTGCACCAATCCCCAGTCAATCTCACGATCCATCCTTCCCTTACTCGTTAACAAAACCCCAAGATACTTGAACTCCTCCACCTGCTGTAAAGACTTTCCTCCAACCCGGAGATGGCAAATCACCTTTTTCCTGTGGAGCACCATAGCCTTGGACTTGGAGGTGCTGATTCTCATCCCAGCCACGTCACACTCTGCAGCAAACCGGCACAGTGCATGCTGAAGGTCCATGTTCGATGAAGCCAACAGAATGACATCGTCTGCAAAAAACAGAGATGAGAAAATTCTTGCGCTTTGAAATTCTGTCCATAAAAATTATGAACAAAATTTGTGACATAGGGCAATCCTGCCGGAGTCCAACAAGTTTGACTTATTGCCGGCAATGCGAACCAGACTTATACTCTGTTCATACAGGGATAAGACAGCACTTAACAGAGCATCTCTGACCTCATACTCTCAGAGCACCCTCCACAGAATACCATGAGCGACATGGTCGAATGCCTTCTCTGAGTCCACAAAACACAAGTGGACTGGTTGGGTATACTCCCATGAACCCTCGAGCACCCTGCTGAGGGTATAGAGCTGGTCCAGTGTACCACAGCCTGGGCGAAAACCGCATTGTTACTCCTGAATCCTAGGATTCCAGAAATGTTAACATTTCTATATATATATTAGGGATGCTCAAAATAATCGATTAACCGTTAATCGAAAGGGTGTGTTTGTGACCGATTAATGCTATCAGTTAAACTATTAAAATTATTATTTTATATATTTTTTAGTTTGACTGCATAAGGGGCCGATTGAATGCGCCTTTGCGTTAAGAGGGGCATCTTTTGCACGCGGCTCATCCCAGAGCAGCAGTTTGTGTTGTCAAGACAACTACATAGAACTTTTAAAGAGCATGGTTTCCGCTACATTCATTCTTCCATGGCGGAAACCAAAATGCATCCCTCCACGGCTACATTCACATTCAAAACATTCAGTTATTGTTGTTGTTGTTGTTTTTAATAGCGGATTATAATCGCATCAAAACATATTAAAAGGTAGATTATAACAGCGCAAACGTTTTTATAACCGTATAGTGTTGTGCGCTATTGTTTAATCCTTTGGGGTTACGTGCTGACTGACTGACTGACAGGTGCGCGATGCGTGAGGCCAGCAAACACGCAGAAGCTTTCAGTTAAGATGAACACAGTTTCTATAGTTATACTTTATTTAAAGATAAAGTATGACTCTGTATATAATCATTCTATCTTGCTGGAGTTTATAGCCATTTCGCTTTACTTCAGGACGCATTAATGCCGCTCTGAAGGTCTATTCGCTGTTTTAAGTTATCCAGAGCTGTATGAATATACAAATCTTGAATATCACAATATTATTAAATATTACAATTGTAACAACATAGACAGCAACACTTTTGCACAATAGATACCCAGCTGATTCAGTCGTTTCATAAGAGGACCGCGCTTCTTCTCTTCTTTTTTCCTTGTCAACATTAAGGCAGTGAGGTGCGCCTCGCGTTTTTGGAATGAAAAAAAGCACATTAGCTGTGGTCGGCCACTTGTTTTACTGCAAGACATACTTAACTTTGTGGGACGATAACGTATAACCCGTGCCTACAGACACATTTGCCAAAGAAGCAAAATGGAAGAAGAATATTGCTTGAAACAGACGTGTTGATGCCAAAAAAAGCGTTGATGTTGACCTGGATCTGCATCATAAACACAACAAATAGGCTTTACCTTTTATTTTACAGCTTATAAAGCATGTATGCACATTAATGCAATATCATATTTAAACAACAAAACTGTTTACAAAAAGTCAACATATGTGCGCGTTGTTGTTGTCTTTTCATCACTCAGTGCGCGCACTTGAGCCGCGATGGAGAGAAAGGTAACCATCAGGACATACTCTTTAAAATAATAATTTCTATTAAAAATGTAAAAAGGTTTTGTGGTTATAATAATAACAGCGGGGCATTAAATAAATGCATATTTTCCGGGGAGCGAGCAATTTGAGGAAGTCAGCTATTTTTATTTGACGGAAGAAAAAAAAACATATGATTGAAAAAAAGCAGCCTATGCCGGTTATTAAAAAGAATCAGTCAGTATTTTCGTTTTGTAATATAAATTAGTTATTTAAGTGAAAATAATTTGGGGTAGTCCTATTTATTTATTCATTTTATTTAGTTTATTATGTTCTTCTGTGCTAAACACTGCAGGTGCGTGAAAATGCTCTGTTGTTATGTTCTGTTATTAATATGCTAGCATATAAAAATAAATCAGTATTTTAAAATGCAATATTTAATTTGTTGGACACAAAATAGTCACGTCAATTTGTTTAATATAAAATTAATAGTAATCTGACCAGTTAACCATTAATAACCGATTAATGAGCAGCGGTTGTCGGTTAGCAAAATTAACCGAAATGAGCATCCCTAATATATATATATATATTCACCAGATGACTTATCTCTATTTGGTAAGAATTTATACTGTTAGATCAATTGGGATGATTCTGCAGTGAGAGTGCATCCTAAAACTAATACACAATCTATATAATTTTTGGGTACCCCAACACATTTTCAGTGTTGTCTGTGTTATTTGCTGACTGTGCATTTCTGTATTTGCATGTGTTGTGAGTATTTACATGCAGAACAATCTTTAAATACTATCAAGAAAATGATACAATTGAAATAGTGTTTTCTTGTTTCCCGAGTTTAAAAGTATTCAAGTACATTACCTGAATGATAAAAATAATTTAATAAACCTAATTGTAGTGTAGAACACAATTTCTTGTACTTGAATGCTTTTAAAATCATACATAGATTTACACATGATAAAACATTGCGTATATCCTGAGATGTGACTATTGCGAATGATGCTGAAATGATATATTGTGCAGCCCTAGTGTGTATGTTACCCCATTTAAGTCTCTGTGTGAAAACAGGCTGTTAATCTCTGTGTTTCCCTTTGTCAGTTATTGGGTCAGTTTGAGAACACTGGTCCTCCTCCTGCGGAGAAAGAGAAAATCTCCTCCCTTCCCACTGTTATCATCACTCAGGAACACACTGGTTAGTCTCTCCTCTCTCTTCCCTTTTCTGCGAAGCTCTGTCGTTTTCCCTGATCTCGTTTGCCAGAAGCACAGTGTGTCGTTTCAGTGATGATTGAAGACTCTCAGGCTCAGCTGGGGTCATTGACCTCACAGTAGGAGTCTTGTGTGCTGATGAATTATAATTGCTATTTAAGGCAACACTCGTCTGCTGAAATCTCATTATTCTCACACCCTGCACGCTGTTTTCTCTCCTCTCGTTTCTCCTAGACTGCAATATGGAGTGTCCTGTATGTAAAGAAGACTATACAGTCGGTGAGCCGGTCCGGCAGCTGCCCTGTAACCACTTCTTCCATAGTGACTGCATCGTGCCCTGGCTAGAACTGGTGAGAGAAGCAATGGGGCAAAATGTGGGAAAGAAAAGCATTTTGAAGTAGGAAAAAAAAGAAGATGAGCACTAACCGAAACATTTATAGATGCATAGCAAGTGGAGAGTATTTTGGAAGGCTCTTACAGTGCTCAGCATAAGTACACCCCCCACATATCTCTCATTTTATAAATATTTTCTATAGGATGCTTTATATTTGTTCATATACAATTGAAGTCAGAATTATTAAACCCCCTTTGAATATTATTTTTTTTTTTTATATGATGTTTAACAGAGCAATAAAATTTTCACTGCATGTCTGATAATATTTTTTTCTTCTAGAAAATTTTTTTTTTTTATTTCGGCTAGAATAAAAGCAGTTTTTAACTTTTTAAAACCCATTTTAAGGTCAAAATTATTAGCCCCTTTAAAAGGCGTGGTCCACTACGATATCATATTTTAAACTTTAGTTGATGTGTAATGTAGCTGTGTGAGCATAAACAATATCTCTGATTGTAAAATGCTCAAAGTTCAATGCAAAGGGAGACTTTGATTTTTACAGAGTTAGCTTAGCAAAGCTTACACTGAACGAATTTTGGGGACTACAAAAAATGCATCCAGGCCTTGTGAGATCACAAACGTACTTTTACTGCTCACACCCTGCACAGCTAAGGGCCGTGGCCAGAGGCGCTGTAATGTTATAGCAAAGATAGAGCTTAAATGCATCCAAACGCTACTATTTCCACAGAACTTTTTCTGTTTCTGTATTTGAGCTTTAAAGGACACGACACAAAGACAGACGTGCTTACAGTTTAATATTAATTATGTTCCAGAGAATTATAAAATACATAGCAAGCAGGATTTGACAAAACACAGCTTTCAGAGTCTCTCCCAGTTCAGTGCTGGATTCGGTTAAAATCTCCTCAAAGATGGAGCAGCTCCTACAAGCAGAAACTGTGAACTCTGAGTTTTTATTTGTTAAAATTATGACATGTACAGTGTCTAGCCTTAATGGTATGTTGTAGCAAAGATGTAAACAATGAAAGTGCTGTTTGGCACAGCTAACGATTTAGCTACAAATCTATATTTATTAGTCAAACTGCTGTAAACACACACACTTCACCAGCACGTGCAGCGTCTCTATGTGTGCGCGACTGTACAGTGTCTTTCTATAGGCAGCTTTTCCTGCGTTTTACATCTCAGATAAAGAAGTCGCAAAAGATATGTGAACGATTCATGTTACTTACACATGCATATCCTGAATATATGTGAAAGACGTTGTGTGTTTACTGTAGTTTCACTGATAAATATGGATTGTAGCTAAATCGTTAGCGATGCCAAACAGCATTTTCCATTGTTTACATCTTTGCTACAACATACCATTAAGGCTAGAGACTGTTAATATTATGCTAACATTATGTTGCTTTAACAAAAATAGCAGTCTTCATTTATCCCATCTGAATACAACAATTCTGTTATTAATTACTCACCCTCATGTTGTTGCAATCCCTAGACACCTTCGTTGATCATTGTAACACAAATAAAGTCTGAAAGCTTATGTCATGAGATGTTCAGAACAGAAACCAAAAACAGTCAAAACCGTTCAAGTGTCATAATAAAAGCTCCAAGCACACTTTTGTGCAGCAAAAAAATGAATAAAAAGAAGTAATCAGTTCAAGGAGCACATTTATTAAAGGCAGTATGGCCATTAAAGTCATCAGTGCAACAGGCAAGCATCTTATTTACCATAGTAAACACAAACTCCGACCTGATGTAAAAGACATTGGCAAGTCAAAGTTGTTTTAATTTAAATTTTTATTTTATTTTATTTTTTTGGCTTGGCTTGTTTGTCTTGGAGCTTTAAATAATTACTTCAGTTGAACCTCTGAAGTCACATGCAATGTTTTGACAATGTTTTTGGATTCTTTTCTTGATCATCTTATGACCATTGTTGTCATGGAAAATAAGAGAGAGCTCTTGAATTTCATCCGAAGTATCTTAATACGTGTTCTAAAGAGAAGCTCTTATGGGTTTGGAGCAGCATAAGGGTGAGTAATTTATACCAGAATTGACATTTTTAGATAAAGTCTTTCTTTAAAGTGAGAACCAGACCCCCTATATATTAAATTATATTCAAATTAATTTTTTTAAAAGTCTACTATCCAAGTAGTATCAGAAATGTTATTTGCTGTAATGATAAAAACTCACATGTACCGTAGCTGTTCTAGAAGTAATGACATGCATACAGTACCTGCTTCTTTAAGTGGTTCAGCAAGTCTAGTCAAATACTAGTCTAGATAATTAACTAAATTGCGTTTCGACTCTGATTTGTTGTTCCAAAAATAATAATTTACACACCAGCTTTCAAAACCTCTTTTTATAAAGTAAGTAAAAATGATGAGGGCATAGATTTCAATGATGTGTATTTAGCATAGCAGTCTCAAAGTACATGGCAGTACCTTGGGTTCAGTGCACATTCCCAAACGTTTATACAGTTTTACCTTACTGTCTTTAATGTAAATGAATGTCATCACAGCGGTCATCTCAAATAGTGTAGAGACAACAAAACTATTGATTTGTATTCTGTTTATATATAAACATATATATAAACATATATATATATATATATATATATATATATATATATATATATATATATATATATATATATATACATAATGTTTAGATGAGCAAATATAATGTGAAATGGTGCTTTATTCTAGTATTTACACTCACTGGCCACTTTATTAGGTACACCTGTTCAACTGCACGTTAACGCAAATTTCTAATTAGCCAATCACAAGCAGCAAGCAAGTCAATGCATTTAGGCATGAAGACATGGTCAAGATGATCTGCTGCAGTTAACACAGAGCATCAGAATGGAGAAGAAAGGTAATTTAAGTGACTTTAAACATGGCATGTTTGTTAGTGCCAGACAGGTTGGTCTGAGTAATTCAGAAACTGCTGATCTACTAGGATTTTCACGCACAACCATCTCTAGGGTTTACAGAGACTGGTCAGAAAAAGAGAAAATGAGTGAGCGGCAGTTCTGTGGACACAAATGCCTTGTTGATGTCAGAGGAGAATGGCCAGACTGGTTCCAGCTGATCGAAAGACAACAGTCATTCAAATAACCTCTCATTACAACTGAGGTCTGCAGAAGAGCATCTCTGATTGCACAACATGTTGAACCTTGAGGTGGATGAGCTACAGCAGTGGAAGACCACTCAAGTTCGATTCCTGTTTGCTAAGAACAGGAAACTGAGGCTACAATTCGCACAGGCTCACCAAAATTGGACTAGAAGATTGTAAAAACGTTGCCTGGTCTGATGAGTTTTGATTTCTGCTGCGACATTCAGATGGTAGGCTCAGAGTTTGGCATTAACAACATGAAAGCATGGATCCATCCTGCCTTGTATCAACAGTTCAACCTGCTGGTGGTGTAATGGTGTGGGGGATTTTTCCTGGCACACTTTGGGCCCAAAATAACAAATTAAGCATCGGCTCATCGGCTTCGGCTTGGCCACAGCCTAGCGGAGTCTTGTTGCTTACCATGTCCATCCCTGTATGATTACAGTATACCCATCTTCTGATGGCTACTTCCAGCAGGATGATCTGCCATGTCATAAAACGTGAATCATCTCAGACTGGTTTACTGAACATGACAATGAGCTCACTGTACTCAAATGGCCTCCACAGTCACCAGATCTCAATCCAATAGAGCACCTTTGGGATGTGGTGTAATGGGAGATTTGCATCCAAGACATGCAGTCAACAAATCTGCAGCACTTGTGTAATTTTACCATGTCAATATGGACCAAAATCTCTGAGAAATATTTCCAGTACCTTGTTTAATATATGCCATGAAGGATTAAGGCAGATCTGAAGGCAAAAGGGGGTCTGACCTGGTACTAGTAAGGTGTACCAAATAAAGTGGCCGGTGAGTGTATGTCTCGCTGGTAACTTTAATTGACTTGCCGAAGATTATAGAATGCTGTGTACCATTGTTTACAAGTAATTAATTGACATCTTTTCAAGTTTTAAACAGCTGGTGTTTTTTTGGATAGGAAGTATATAATGTGTTGTGGACTTTTATTCTTGCCTTAATGAAGATGTTCAGTGTCAATTTGAGGTCCACAGATGTAGTGGTTAAACTCAAAATGTTCAGCATGTACAGTTAGATCCCTACTGTTTTCTATTCCCCCTCCTGAACTGGAATGCACTTATTAGTTGTTTTTATTATGTCCAGTCATCTGACATGAAATGTTTGAACTCGGCTCAGTTTTTAGTATCTTCAGAGCTTTCAGAGACAAATATTGACTGACCCCCGCTTCTCTCTTCTTTCTCCCTGAAGCACGACACGTGTCCTGTGTGCAGGAAGAGTCTGAATGGGGATGAAAGCGGCACTCAGTCCTCATCAGAGCCTTCTTCTTTAAACACTGATCCTCGCACACCGGAGAGATGGTCCTTCTGAAACACATACACATGCGTCCGCCTGTCTCATCCAAACTCTCTGTCTTAACCCAAGATTGTTTGTCTTTCTCTCTCTCTCCTTTTGTTGCGTTTTCATGGCACCACACTGATGTCTTTTACTATGATTTGTTTACTACTTTTCTCAACCGCAGTCCTTCTGGAGTTGTGTTCATCCCAATGTTTCTGTTTCTTTCCCATATTCTCAGGCGCCTTTGATTCCTTCTGTGCTTTTACTTTTTCCCTACCTGAGTGAACAAACACAGCGCAGGATGAGGCACGTTGATTTGGGCACATGTTGTTGCTAAAGCAGCTCAACTCTGAACCCACATTTAGTTTGTACAGCATTGGGAGCTGTACTCCGCGTAGCGCCTCTTAGCGTCCAATGTGAATTCTTCTTGGGATGGCCTGCCGTGTCTGTGCGGTTTATCAACTTTGCTTTACTTCCCCAGTCCTTGCCTTCTTATTTTCTCCTCCGTTTGTCCAGGAGATCATGAAGTTTTGTCTCTTTCTTCTCTTTGATTCCTCTCTGGTGTGTATATATCACAGACCCATCAACGTCCATCAGTTTAATTTGATTACCTTCTTTTCACTCTCATTTCTATTACAGTTTTTTCTAATGTAAATAATTTTAGTTGGAAAACTCATTAAGGAAGACAAAAAAAGAGGAAAAAAAACATTGATGATGAATCGCTAAATATTAAAGTATATAAATATATATTATATGATGTGTATGACCATGATGTATTAATAATAAAACTGAATAAAAACCAGGAGATATGTGGAGCTTGGTATGACATGCGATCGACAGCATCATTCAGACCTTCCTATTGCTTTGAGGGGTTTTTAACAAACATCATAAAGAATCAGCTTTTATATGTTGTCTTTATTTGGTTTTTAATTCACAGTATCAGTGCAAGAATGTTTAAATATCAAGTTTTCCCAGGGGTGTTAGAAGAATTATTAATACAAGACTAAAAAGTTGATGAGAGCAGCTTGCTGGGTTCACACCACAAATGCGAATAGATTAGATACAAAATGAACGTGCAGAATTCACCTCACTCGCGTCTTCCTGACTTGAAAATTGACTATAATTTACCGTAGTATTTTTCATGCGAGTATACTCTTCACATTATTAAATACCAGTCGTGCTCATTGTCCCTTTTAGAATGTTTCCTGTATTTCTATTAAAGCGAATGCCTTCAATCTGATATGTGATATAAAAATAGAGAACATATTTAACAAAAGGAGGTTAGACATAGGGCTGGACGATATTGAAAAGATCTGATAATGCAATATTTTATTTTTCTGCGATAAATATTGTGATATGAATACAGTTTCACAAGATTTGAATAGTTTGAACAATATAACTTAATGGTTTCCTTTGGTCTGACAGTATTTAGGTACAGAAATTGAAAGATCACAATGCAAAAAACTGCTGTTCTAACTTTGCAATGTCTCATTTCTAGTCCAAATATAAAACAACTCTTAGCGCAAGTAAAACTATTGTTTTGTTTTCACCTTCAGAATTAATCAAAATGAAAAGTTTTTTCCTTAAAACAAGTACAATTATCTCTCAGCCGGGTAAGCAAATCTTGCTTTTGTAATGATGCTGCATTGAAATGCAGATATTTGGACTAAAAACAAGACAAAAATTCTAAGTTAGAAAAAATGTTTGTTTAAAAAAGAATTAAAGACAGTAATTAAATACGTTTCTGTAGCTCCTGGGCAACTATAATTCGAACATTGCATATCCTGCCATGTGACTATTGTGGATGCGCACATTGCAATAGCAATGCTGAAACAAGTTTGGACTCAAATGCCTCAGGTGTCTTGTTTAGCTATATTTCATACACAAATTTGGCACTTAATTAATGTGCATAGCCTCAAGCCTTTTTATACTTCTCCATCGAGTGATCGGCACGACTTGTATGCTCCGGCACAGCCTATACATGGTTACGTGGCCGACGGCGATGCTGATGCGCAACTCTAAAAAAATTTAACTACATGTTGCAACAATGCATTGTGCTAGCTCTGTGATTGGTCGGCTGACGAGTGTGGGCGAAGGTGATAGTCACGCAAGCCAGATGGAGCGAGTGTTTGCAAGTGTCGAGTCCTGGGAAAAAAGCTCTCGGTGGAAACTGTTGTTTTGTGTTTACCTTATGATTAAAGTTGTTGCTTGCCTGCTGTTTCCCACCTCTAAAAGAGTGAGTTTGAGTTACTTGAACATATAGGTAGTGTTCAGGAAAAAAACACCAGCAAAGAAACAACACAGAGGAACAAAAACACCTCCTGCCAGCTAGTGTTATTGCAGAGCTACACAAACAGCACACAGAAGTGTAAATGCAACAACTTAATCAAAAGGTAAACACAAAACAACAGTTTCTATCTGGAGCTCCTTCCCATGACTCGATATTTGTTGACACTCGCTTGATCAGGCTCGCGCAGCTCTCAGCCCTGCCCACACTCATCAGCGCTACCAAGCCGATCAATCACAGAGCTTGCACTACGCATCCTTGCGACTTGTAGTTACATTTTTTGGGAGGTCAGCGTTGGAGACGGGCTATGCGACCACACACAGGCTGCGTGCACTCGACGCAAACGTATAAATCAGCCTTCAGCCAACAAGGCAGATTTTTGCACTCAGTGTACAGTGATGTTTATTTTAAAGTATGTTTTAATACTGTCTATTCAATGTGGAAGAAAAACACACAAAAAATTGGATCCTTTACAAGTTAGAGGCATTTTGGTGGTATAAAGTACAGGATTGGACAGCCATCTTCTTGGCCAACAGTAATGGTCTAATGATAATTCTCAGCAGCCAATCACGTTCATGTGTTCAAGCTGGCCCAGTAGCTGGGGCTTTTAAAATCTCAAACTAAATTTGTCAAATATGTGTTTGCAAGTAGTTTACTCATACATTGCACTTTTCATGTGTAAAAGTAACAACACAATCTTCAAGATCTAAAATTTGCACATTTTTAAGCTTTCTCTCCATAAACATTCTATATCTAATCTAGAGCAAGTGACGCTCTGTTTGGTGTCTGATGTGAACCCAGTATTACAGCCTATAAAGCAAATGTATTTTCGACTTTAAATCACTATCGACTCAGTATTGAAATAATTTATTTGCTAATCATGGTTGTTAAGCTTTCGGATGTTTCTGTCTTAAGGCATGACTGAAATGATTAGAGTTCCTTATTAAGGTGCTTATATGGGTTACTGACCCAGATTTTGTTTACTGTCTGTTCCACAGTAGTGTGAGAATGGAGTGAGGTGGAGCACTTCCTGGCAAAAAGCCCACCGTTTGATCCCAGACTTCAAATGGCACCTCCTCTTCAGACCTGCAGTTTGATAAAGAGTTTATATACATCACGTTGATTTCACCATCTTAAATGGTCAGTGATGAGGTCACAGTTTTTACCTGTTTAGAATGATTAATACTGCTGAGGCGTCAGGTCTGATGAATGCAGACATTTCTAGGCTGGTCTGCTGACTAAAGGACACACCTACTCGCTGAGACTCCTCCCACAGGAACTTGCTGTTAGTAAGGTACAAAGGCATTGGTTAACAGAGAGCAACATATCCGCATGTAGAGTGGTGACGTGTTTGTGACGTATGTATACTGTTTCCGGGTCCAAGCCGCCATTCATTTGAGTGGAGAAATCATTCGTTTATGATCACGTTTTATTCCTATCACACATTGAAGTTAATTTTATATAAAATCGTAGTGTACACAACAATCTCTGGGCTTGCTGCATAACAAATACCAAAATGTAACAATTTATTAAAAAATTTATCACTTTCTGGCCATCGGATATTAGGCATGGACATATATATTGCGATTGTGATTTTCGAAAGCATTAAATCGCTTTGTAAACGTTTATTATTACCATTTCATGAGTCTCCCCATTCGGTTGAATAGAGCGCTTGGACCCGGAAGCCGCTTCGCGTGACGTCACACTTAACAAGCGGATTCTATTGAAAATGGCTCATTTAAAAATAAGTTTAGTTAGGTTGACTTCTATCTTTGCAATTAATATGGAGAAATATAGATTAGATGGTGTTCTTGCACAAGATCTGAAATCTGTCAGGACTGAAGGTGCTTTGAACGAGTCTGACCTGAAGTGGGCCATGCTGTAGAATGTGGGCTGCTTGTAAAATATATCTTTGCTTGGGTCCACAATTATGGGACTGTCCACAAAGTTCTTGACCCAGTTGGGTCCTCCATCCTGATTAAGGGCCAAATTCCAGTCGGTCCAGCCGGTCACATAATTATTCAGGTCCTAAAACAGAACGTTATAGAGAGGATAAGTACATTATGTTTCTGAATTGACAATCTATAATGTGTAAAACTAAATTGTATTTGATTTTTATATAAACAAAAAATATATAAGTATAAATACAGATTAGAAAAAATTGTTGGAATCTTTATGTCCAGCTAAGTTTCATTAGTTTGCCTTATTTATTGCTTTTGTTCAACCACAATTCAAAAGCAATATCTGATTTCTATTAATTCATTTTCTTTTTGGCTTAGTCTCTTTATAAATCACGGAACACCACATTGGAATGAACTGGCAATTTATCCAGCATATGTTTTTACGCAGTGGATGCCCTTCAAGCCGCAACCCAAAACTAGGAAACACCCACACACTCACATACACTACGGCCAATTTAGCATATTCAATTTACCTATAGCGCATGTGTTTGGACTAGTCGGGGAAACCAGAGCACCTGGAGAAACCCAAAGGGAATACAGGGAGAACATGCAAACTCCCCACAGAATTGCCAACTGACCCAGCCGGAGCTCGAACCAGCAACCTTCTTGTTTTGAGGCAATAGTGCTACCCACTGAACCAATTGTGTCACCAGTCTTAACTAATAATAAAATGAATTATTCGTCAAGGGGTCCGTTCTTTGTACTTGGTTTCCTCAACTAGCTGGATTCGATTATTGATGATTTGATCAAAAAGGATAGTTCCATTCTTCAGAATTTATCCTGAAGTTGTTGCTGCCCAATCTGATTTTCATTTGTTTATTTTCAGTCATTTTTTATAAATTATTAAGTCGTTTTTAGTTTTAAGTTATTTTTGTGACCACTGTAGTTTTTCTTTCTTCAATGGAAGAGCACCAACAGTTTTCTCCAAGACACGTCTGTATATATTGACTTATTTATTTATTTTGAAATTGATGAACTACTGTTGACATTTCCTCCAAATTTAATATCACATGCCATTTAGTTTTTTCCATGAAATAACAAAGTTCAGACGTTTATGTTAAATATAGAGAAGACAATACCATTGTTTTATCTTCAAAAGAGGTCAGAAATGAAGATTATTATGTGTTATTCTGATCAATGATCTTATCTTTTTTAACTTTACTTTTTATTTACTATACTTTATAAACTAAAAAAAACCATACCCAAACCCATACCTAATACATCCAGCAAATCCAAAGAAACTGGCCATTTTTAAGTGGTAGCTGCATATTTAAACAACAACATCACTATATATTGTGTGTAATTGTTTATTTCCCGCTGATCCAAATTCTCAAACAAATCATCAGTATATGTAGTAAATAATCATTTATATGTTAATGAGCTTTTCAGACATGCTCCTAGAGTGTTTAAGGGTTGTTGCTAGATCAGATACGTTTGCCACTGGAAGTTAATAAGAATTATTTCTATTATTTATTGAATTTCCCATTTATTGTATTTTATTAACGTCTACCCCCATCCTAACCCTAAACCCAACCCTAAACCCACAGTAATGTAAAAACAGTAGTTGTACTGAGTATTATTTATGCTATCTATTAAAATACCCAATACATTTTATTTTTTAACGCCTACCCCCACACCAACCCTAAATCCAACCATCACAGTACTGTAAAATATTAATTATTGTTATACAGTGTCATTAAAAAAATGCTGCTATATTAATGTGCATATCCAATCTAGAATTGTTTAAGACCATTATCCAGTACCTGGATGATGTCATGGGCGTAGTCCTCTGCCCTGTCCCAGCTGCCCAGACGCACACCACGATCCACTGGACTCCACCCAGCGCATGCCTCAGTTGCAAATAGGAAGTAATCAGGGTACAGATGGTGTGTGGAGGTCAGGGTGACGTCAGGCGGCACAAGGCGATCAAAATACCAGTGAACACCAATGCCGTGGACATATCGTGCTGCTTTAATGTCACTTAGAACCTATAGCCGAAAAAAAAAAAGAAGAATCAACTTGTGCCAAAATTAAATATACAGTGATAATGAACATGCACAGTATTTATACCATGGACACTTAAATACTCAATTGAACAATTATTTAATATTTAAACTTTTAGATTGCTTTTAAGAAAATTCAGATTGTTGTATTAGATGTTGTTCATATAAGCCGTGTCTCATTTCATAAACTTTATCCTCCGAAGGAAGTAGACTTCCAAGGTGAGTCCTTCGAAGTCCACACAGGCCAAACCGAGTGATTTACAATGAGACAATCCAGCCTACAGAGGATGGATCTAGTCACCTAGCAACTGTAAAAGTTGCTAACACACAAATTGTCATTTTCTCAAAGTTAATTAAAAACGTATATTAAACCATAGTCCCTTTAAGGCAAGCAAAGCTTAGAATCACCAAGAGGTGACACTCAATAGAGCGTTTCATTGCAACAGCAGCGCCCAGAAACAGCCAAGCGATTCCGCCATTTTAGAGTGAAATCGATTGGCCATTCCGTTGGATCTTATTGCTGTCGAGATGGCAAGCAGCTGCTTTGTTTTTTATTTATTTATTTAAAAAGCGCATTAAAGCTGAGATACAACCTGAAAGACGACAATACAACACTTACTATCACAATCATCAGCACTTTTAATAGTTTATTTTACAGCCTTATAATATGCTGTTGTTCTATTGGAATTTTCATTCCAAAATGGCCGCCGCGTGACACTAGCGGCATCTGGCTTTCCCAAACAACAACAGTGTCGCCTCATGGTGATTCTCTGTGTCTCATTTCAGAGGTTGCATCCCTCGAATGATGCAATTAGAGCTGAGTCATCGAAGTCAGTCTATTTTTATCGGTGATTCCTAATATGAAATTCAATTGTAGCTTGGCAAGCAGTTCTAGAGAATTTGATGTTTCGCCATTCAGACGGAATGCCTGAGCATACTTTCAAAGATGGCCGCAGAGTAAAATGACTTGCCTCAAAGAGAATAGATTCACCAAGATGCAACACTCTGTTGTCCTCTAGTAACCTTTTTTTGCATTTATGATAATACCATGCCTTATATATTATAATAAAAGCTTAAATTAACCAAAACAAGAAAATTAATAAAGTCTAGATCAGAGATGCCCACTGTGGCCCACTATGACCTTTGATTTGGCCAACCATCCCAACCATTCCCAAAGCCGAATGCCTTTAAAAGAGATGGTCATTTTTAATTTAATGTAACCTTTTTTTTTTATTGCTAAGCTTCCAAAAAAGCAAGTTTCAATTTAATTATGTAAATGAATTTTAAAAATATAAATATTGTCACTCGACGGATAGAGGACTATACAGAAGACATTGATGAGCAAATCAATGCAAAAACTAGTGTAACTCCATTCTGTTATAATGGAGGTGTTTTTACTGTAATAAGTTCATTACAAAATGTTTTAAAATACCAAATAGGTTCATCTAAATCAAAGTTTTCTAGTTATTTCTAAATATTAATAAATAAATTAGGAAATTACCGATGACAACTATATTTACCTTCGGCCCACTAGCCTTAGTCAAGTTTGTTTTTTGGCCCTTTATAAGAAAAAGTTTATGATGGTACAGCTGTGGATACTCACATCAATATAGCGCTATTTTTGTGATACTGTACAACAATAGATTATATTTTTTACATTCATGTGAGGGTTACGTTTAGGGTTTGGGTAGGGGTAGATGTTAATAAAATACAAACTAATGGGTAACTTAAATAATATGAATAATACTCTGCATAACTATAAATAATTCTCCTAACTTTTGGCCACAGTTGTATCCCTTTTAGCAAAAACAATGTATATTGAATCATTTAAACATCTTTCTATACTTTTTTTCTCCATCCACCAATCCTAACTCACCACTTTGGCCCAATGTGGCAGCATAAGGCGGTTGTCATCAAGAATCATTAGTTGGGTCTTGGAAAAGGATGAGGAATGGAGTGCTGGACCTAGATCCAGGGCAATCCAGTCACGCTGCGTCTCCGGAGTAAAACCCAAAGCCTGAAAACTGTAATTTGTCATTTCACCTGCAGTGGGCTCATTCCCTGACGTCAGCCCCCAGAACGAAAGATTATACTTCCTGTATTCCTCTAGAAACCTGAATCAAACGAAAACAGGCTTTATTAGAAGGTGCTAAAAGATTGGAAATGTGTTTCTTCATTCATTCATTCATATTCTTTTCAGCTTAGTCCCTTTATTAATCTGGAGTCGCCACAACAGAATGAACCGACAACTTATCCAGCACATGTTTTATGCAGCGGATGCCCTTTCAGCTGCAACCCAGCACTGGGAAACACCCACATATGCTTGCGCGCACTCACATACACGACTGCCAATTTAGTTTATTCAATTCACCTCTACTGCATATCTTTGGATTATGGGGGAAACCGGAGCACCCGGAGGAAACCCACACCAACACAGCGAGAACATGCAAACTCCACACAGAAATGCCAGCTGACCCAGCCAGGGCGCCAACCAGCGACCTTCTTGCTGAGAGGGGATTGTGTACACTGCGCTACCGTGCAGTCCTGAAATGTGTTTCTTTTTTATTATTCTTATTATTATGAGAAGCCATTTGTATTTAAATGCAGTTTTGGGTTTCTTTGTGCACCTGATATAGTACTGAGCCCAGGTCTTGTGTTCTTTGCCTCCTGGTTTGCCTTTGAGGGAGCCCTTCCCTATCAGTGCGCCGTTGGTCTTCAGCCAGGCGGGGGCGCTCCAGGCACTGGCGAACAGATAGAGAGGCTGAGCAGATAGAGCCTGTGCCCGCTGCAGAAGGGGAATCTGGGACAGATAGAGGAAATTAGAATATAACATCTGGCATTAGGGGTTTTGCCATATGTATTTGCCACATGTAAGATGGTAATAATTTTTGTTTAACAATGTGACATCTCCACACTGGATAAATCCACTAATTCATTGTTTGATGTAATTAAGCCCGATTTACATGAAGACAGACTGAAATTACTATAAGGGCCCAATCTCAAATGACCGCAGTGGCATATTTAGTGACTTGGGCAGCCTAAGCAATTGCAGCTATGAAGCAGTCCTAATATGCACACTTTGTACTTTATTTCTTTATTTGGCGGTCTTTTTCTTATTTCATTCAATCTTTATTTATATATATTTTTTTTTTCTTAAAATAAAAAAACTAAATGTAATAATTAAAATAATTAAATAATTAATAATTACAATAAAATGCTTTATTGTTAGACCCTCACTTCACAAAATATAGAAAACTACATTATTCACCTTATTCTTCGCGACAAGCAGGCGCAGCCATTTGAATCTTTTTGGCTCAAGACTTCCGGTCTCATTCACTTCCATTTATTTTTAGACATTAAAAACTGCTCGTTTCGCTGTTTGATGTTGCATACTGATAGTTTCTTATTACATTATTCTACTTGGTCTGTATGTTCATGCAAACATTTGTTTGTAGAGCAAGTAGTTTAACCGTTTTCTGCCGTTTATTATTCCAAGTCATTTCTCCCATAGGTGACTGAATCGGAAGTTGTAAAACAATTGCGAAAGCAGGCGCACTTCTTCATTTTAGAATAAGGTCAATATACACTTAGTGGCCACTTATTAGGTACACCTGTCCAACTGCTTGTTGATGCAAATTTGTAATCAGCCAATCTCATGGCAGTAACTCAATGCGTTTAAGCATGTAGACAAGGTCAAGACAATCTGCTGCAGTTCAAACCGAGCATCAAAATGTGGCATGGTTGTTGGTGCCAGACAGGCTGGTTTGAGTATTTCAGAAACTGCTGATCTACTGGGATTTTCACGCACAACCATATCTAGAGTTTACAGAGAATGGTCTGAAAAAGAGAAATATCTAGTAAGCTCCAACCGAGGAATGCAGAAGAGCATCTCTGAACACGCCCAACCTTAAGGCGGATGGGCTACAGCAGCAGAAGACCACACCAGTGCCACTCCTGTCAGAGAACAAAAGACTGAGGCTACAATTCACACCGGCTCACAAAAATAAATGGATAATAATCCATGAAAATGGATATAATGGATAATAAAAGATTGGAAAAACATTGCCTGGTCTTATGAGTCTTGATTTCTGCTGTGACATTCGGATAGTAGGGTCAAAATTTGACAGCAACAACATGAAAGTATGGATCCATTCTGCTTTGTATCAACAGTTCAGTCTGGTGGTGATATAATGGTGTGGGGCATATTTTCTTGGCACACTTTGGGCCCATTAGTACCAACTGAGCATTGTGTCAATGTTACAGCCTATCTAAGTATTGTTACTGAACATGTCCATCTCTTTATGACCACAGATATGTACCTGTTTTCTGATGGCTACTTCCAGCAGGATAATGATCATCTCAGACTGGTTTCTTGAACATGAAAATAGGTTTACTGTAGTCAAATGGCCTCCACAGTCACCAGATTTCAATCCAATAGAGCACCTTTGGGATGTGGTGGAATGGGAGATTCGCATCATGGATGTGCAGCTGACAAATCTGCAGCAACTGCGTAATGCTATCATGTCAATATGGACCAAAATCTCTGAGGAATTTTCTAGTACCTTTTTGCATCTATGCCTTGAAGGATTAAGGCAGATCTGAAGGCAGACATTTTGGTCCATATTGACATGATAGCATGGTCCAACCTGGTACGACTAAGGTGTACCTAATAAAGTGGCCAGTGAGGGTATGATCTATACTCCTAGGCATTTATTGGGTGCTACCGAATTTCCTAGGGCTCTAAGTAGTTGCTTACCTCATTTATTGATTAAATTCATAGCTGAATGTAGGGAAGTGAATGAGCAGCAAAATTTATTTTGAAATACTAAGAATGTTTATTGTCATTGCTGTGAAGATTATAAGTTATTGTGTGATTAATTGATAATGAAATGAGAGTGACGGTTTAACTAATTGCACATTGTGATTGACTATGGAATAAAAGGGTGGAGTTGGAGAATGTGTCACACACTGAGGAAGGCTTTGTGCCGATACGTCTGTTTGTCTGTTATCACCCGTAAAATGTAAGAAAAAGTACAAATAAAAACAGTATGAAGCAATTGAGTGCGAATCATTACCTTCTTTTGAATAATAAATACGATAAGCAAAATGTACTTTTGCATTGTATTGCTGTATTTAAATTTGCATTCTTCGCATGATGTGCGAAGTTTGACGCAAAATGAAAATGAAATGATAAAAACGAACATTTGCCATTTTAAAACAAAGTTTTTTTCTAGTAATTTTCTAGTATGTTTTTTTGTAAATAACACATATAGATAATTTAAATATTATATTAATTTAAAACATGTAAAAATCAATAACTACTTTAAAATACATTCTGACCCGAAAGGTAGCAAAATGTTGAGTAAATTGTATTTTTAATGCATTGACATGAACACTTAAAGGGAAAGTTCCCTCAAAAATGAAAATCAAATCACTATTTACGCAATATTTACCCTCAAGCGAGTACTACTGCAGACCGCTATTTGTAGTAAGGTGTGTTTTTGTTTGTGTATGCTACCTTCATGTGAACATCCTCTTTGGCCAGGGTGAAGTTCTGGAGATCGTAGTCTTCTGGAGTGTCAGCATACGTGTAGAGTCGAGTTGAAAAATCACAGCTGGCCACCGGCACTCTCACGAAACGGTACTCTATACCTGTGAAACAGAGCGATGTACACCATTCGGAACTGAGAAAGCCGAGGCCATTTTCATTTCCACTTGCTCAATCTCTGTTGCTCTCACCATCTGTGGAGAAGTACTGTCTGAGCAGCTGGTCCTGAGCTCCGGAAGACAGAGACAAAATATTAATGGCTGCTGCATCCGTCATGGCTCCCCCGAATCCCTTAATGTGCTGGAACTTCTGACTGGGGTTCAGAGTGATTCTGAGAGCTGGCGTTCAGAAAAGGAGAGAAAAAGCGTTTAGCATTTGGCTGGAAAATTATGTATAATTAGATTTATTTAACAAATGTATAATATGTACACAGAAAACTCACAACTGGTCGACAAATGTATTATTCTCACATGATGAAAGTGAAATTATATAACAATAATTTTTAATGTGAATGGTTGGATTTGTTTTACAATTTAAGTATTTTATAATAATAATATTAATAATAATAATAATTTAGAAAATTATTGACGTTTAGATTGGTTTGTTTTTCATAAAATTACAATTGGTCAAAATATGCGTTTTCAAACTTAAAATATTTCAAAGAAATCAAGTTGACAATTAAGACAACACAAAACAATGGTTCAGAAGAGTTAATATTTGGTGGAATAAGCCTGATTCTTCAGCCACAGCTGTCATGTGTCTTGGCTTGCCCTATCTCCAGACCCGCCGAACCACACTGTAAACCTCAAGAGAAGGATGGACAGCCAGCCAGAGCCAAACAAAGCTAAGCTGCTTGATTCTTTCTGTCAGGAATGGCAAAACACCCAACGAAAATGTGAAGACGGTAAAGAGGTCGCCATCATGAAAAATAACAGTGACTGGAAATCAAACTCATTAAACAAAATATAGACTTTTTAAACATTAGTATTGTTAATAATGAATATAAACCTTTCCTGCATTATTGCAGTTCTTTAAACATTTATTTATACAAATTTGTGAATGAAATAAAATGAAAATTGCAGACCAAACTCATCCATATGAGGCAGTATATATAGAGAGATTTTATTTTATTTTTTTTTACAATTTATAACAATTCACAAAGTATAGTTTCTCGAAATCAATAATAATGAACAGGGGAAATCTTATTTCAGCTTTGTTATTGGTCCAGTTCCATTATTCCACCATTTCTTTTAATCTATCTCTTCTTAATTTACAAAAATCAAGTATTTTATTTTTACATTACCTTGTCATTTTTATCCATTCATAAAACCACTGGCTATGCAACCAAAACTTTATTTCATTAATAATATTTGATAAACACTGTTCAATAAACGGCACACTTCATCAAATGTTCTGAACCTGAAAGCAAGAAAAGATCTCACTGGTTCCCACTCCCTAGTTTGGTTAAGGCTGTGTTTTAAAGATTTTTACTTTTCATTTTATTTCTATTTGTTTATTCTTTTGTGAGTGTTTTGTTTGTGCATAAATTCAATGGATCTGTATCTTTATTCAACATCTTCACTTGTGTTATGAACATCAACTTAAGTCTTGTGGGGCTTTGAATGACAAAGTGAGCAAAAATTTGCAGTCATAACAATTTGAGAGCATATGTACATGCCAATTTTTCTCACAGGGAGTTTCACAGGGAGTTACACATTTAACAGTTTTTTTTTTTTTTTTTTACAATCGCTATGAGTTTATCTCAATAAAAGGTTCCTAAACTCTTAGCACGGTTAGCAAAACATCCATCTTTGTATGCTATACAATTACCACATTTCTTGTTGCTTTGATGCAAAATGCATAGTTACCACCAATTTCAAATGCTCAACCAAGACCAAAACAATGTCATTTTACAGTAAAATTTACAAATGCTTTCACGCTGTATTTTACAGTCTATGGTCAGAACAGATCCCATCATGTTCTAAACAGAACATATATAGGCTAAAGTCAAAGTGAACAGCTTTTCATAGTGAACTGAAAAACAAATACATTCCCTGTATTTTATTCCATTGCCAATGAGAAACCGCTGATTGCAGTTGGGTAAATACATAAATCACAGCAGATTCCCACCTAAGAACCACACTCAGGTTTTTCCAATCACAAGATCATATGTTCTAAATGAGGACTCTTTGGGCTGATCTTGTGTGGAAAAGGAACAACAAGAGAATTCTTCCCATGATACCTTGCCAGAGACGATATCAGGTTTGATGTGGATGAAAACATGTGGCCAAATGCAGAAGTCCAAGCAGAAATGGGATTTTTTTGTTTTTTGTATTATAATTGTAATGCTTTTTCTGATGCGGTTTCTTACTAAACCCAACAACATAAAATGTAGAGAGGCTTCAAATATAAGGGCAGAGCGGACACAAAATAATGCAGTTTTTGTAATTTTAGCTGATGATAGTGTTTTTTGTCAATGTGTTATGATTGACTAAATGTTCCTGTTGGAAGAGAACTTGTGTTAGTGTTTAGAAAAATTATTTGATTTTAAAACATGCTTGCAGTGTTTTGTGGTGCATTGTGTTACTTTATTTTTGTATTTTGAACATTAGTTTTTTGGTTTAGTTTACAATGTGTGATTTTAAGCATGAAATTAAACGTTTTGCCAACTGTGTGTTTTAGGTGTGTTCGTGTGTTAAGAGTTTACCAAACTTGTTAAATGTATTGAAAAAACTGTTATAGTCATTGTAAAAAAATTGTATCAAAACTGAAATGATTGTCTATTCTGTAAAAATTTGCTGCCAGTCACATAATAACAAGCACTTTTAAATTTTGATATTCACAGGGATTATTGAACAGAAATGTAGGCCTCCAGCGTGTGTAAAATATTACATCTTCATTTAAATCTTGTTTAAAACGATTCTTACATTTTCCGAATCTACACTGTGTAAAATGTATTCCATAATTTAATCAAAATGAAGCGTTGAAGCGTTGAGATGCAAAATCCAATAAGATCCATTTGAATTTTTTTTCTAAAATGAGCTAAAATGTAGGTTTAGTCACTTTACTTTTATGGCAAATGATGTTCTTTCCATTGCTTTTAAAGTGAAATAAATTAAAATAAACTTAAGGCTGAGGAAAATTCTCATTTTAGAACACAAACTGATACAGGATTTACATCAGATTAACACATAAGTGTTACAGTAAACAGAACACTAGTGAGCAGACCGTTAGTTTGAGTACTGGGACATGGCCATGGTCTCTTAAGAGCACTCACCTGCACCTGTGCTGTTCTTCTGGAACTGTCCTTGACTCTCCATCAGTCTGCTGCCAGCTTTATTGCTGACATATGATAAGAACTGACCAGCATCTGGCAGCACAGTCCGGCCGAGAGAGTCGCAGTATGTCGCATTGCACACACACACAACCGAGCCATGACCGAAATTCAGTGCTAGACAACCGTCTTTACTGTCAGCTGAGCCAAAGTGAAACAAAAAAGCAGAAAGATCAAAACAAACACTTGGACAGAAAGGTAAATCTTATATAATCCGTCTGATTATTGTTACACACCTCTTGCTGTGGTGATTATTCCGGCGAGCAGAATAAAAAGAGCCGTTTCTCTCATCCTGCCGATGAGACTCCCGTGTACGTTAATGAACGCCCATTCAAATACTTAATCTTTTAAGATTTGTGACGATTTAAAGTTTATCCGAGGCCTAAAAACGAAAATGGCAATGTCATTATGGTTCTCTAAAAGATGTTTAAAAGTCCAGTCTGATGTGTTTCGAGAATGTAAACAGTCAATCACGCGCCATGCGACTGATTTCCTGGTGAAAATGCGGAACGGTCACATGACCACCATCTTCGTCACGTGACTTGCAACAGTGTTCACGTTCAAAAGTTCAAGTTCACGACTAGTAGGCCATCTCAAAAGCTTCATTTTATAAAAGGGTATAGAAATAAATCTTTAGAAGGAAAATATGTTAAGTAAAACCGTTTTTTTTATGAGATATTGATATTATTAAACAAAGTTATACTATCAAATATATTAGAAATAGTATAATAGGTGATACATTTATATATAATCAGTTAAAATGGACCATTCATTTATTTTTTTCCGGTCTAGTCTCTTTCAAAATGGATAAATCTAATCATAAATATAAATTGGGTAAAAGCTTGGCGTTCTTATGAAATATATTGTATAAATAACAAAGTAAAAGATGTTACATTTAAAATGTTACATTATATAGATCCAGCTAAAGAGGTTTAAGAGAGAATTATTTTGGATATTGATTAATTCTGTGACTTTTGTTGCATGGAAAAGGAAACTATTGTCCATTTGTTTTGTGATTGTATACATGAGGATTTTCTGGGTGAATGTGGAAAATTTTCTTAGAAGGAAAACAAATATTGTATTCAAGTTACAAAATGTTGTCAATACATGCAACAAATGTACCTTTCTAGTACAACTTTTGATTATTATGGGAAACTTTCATATACTAAAAAAATAGACTGGATCAAAGCCAAATTGTGTTAATTTCCTTCAAAGAGACTAAGGACTACTCCACAAGTTTGGAGAACATTGTAAATAAAAAAGCAAAGAAGACTCGTAATAATCTTAAGGAATATAAGATGTTTATTACTAAATGTTTTATGTACACTCTGGCTAATATTTTTGTATGTTACTGTATAATTCTGTTTTTGTTTTTAAAAAAATCTGATGTAGTGTAAATAAATTCATTAAACATGGAAAAAAGTCTAATATGCCTATTAAATATACGAAAAGAAATATGCTTTTTTCAAACCTTTTTATTATGAAAAAGCTGCATACTTATGTTTACTGGATTCACATGATATACACAAGCAAGTGAGAGAAAGCAGATGATGTTCACTACAGGAAAGCACACAATCTTTCCAGGATGGATGGATTTCTATTGCTGAGAAAGATGAGCTCCTTCTTTCCTTCTTCAGACCGACCTGTAATTAATATATAATAGATTAATAATAATATAGTAATAACTCTTCTTTCAAGTCATGTCAAAATTATATTGTATTAGTTAAACACATGCACTATAAACATGGTTTATTCAATTAGAATTTAGAGACCGAACTACTACAATTTAAACCAATATTTTAGATATCAAGGACCCCTAAATATAATCATCCATGTTTGAAGAACCCCTTACTCAACTTAATGGCCATTTATACATTTTCTTTTATATACAGCTTTCTTTTTCCAGCATAAACTACACACCAAGTGTCAATTTTCTGTTTAATTTGCATCAATAACCTGAAACTCAATCTAGGAAAAAAACTCCAAGCACATTAATGTACAAACTTACTGTGTGGATGCTGCAGCCAGTTGCGGTCTAAATAGTACAGATAACAGCTCTCAAACTCCTTCTCGTTGTAACCCGACACACAAACTGGCACAAAAGGTTCCATTTCATCAAACCCTTCCTGAAACGCAGAAATAGAGGCATGGACAGAAATGAGGGAATGAAAGAGAATTAAGTAAATACGTGAAACCCTCTTAACAAATACAAACAAAACATGCAGCAGACAATGTCAGGGGCCGCTAAACCTATGCTCTAAAGTCTATTGTTGAAGTACAAAACTAAACAATGCTCTGTTAACATTCGCTCTGAAAGCACATGGATAAAGGCATAATGTGGTTGGCTGACCTCTCCGAGCAGCTCGCTGGGAAGGTAAGCAGAGCGTGGCTTGAACAGAGAGCCGGTCTGAGACAGGGCTGTGAGAATGGCTCCTCCTCTCTGATGACAGACGGGAATGTAAATTCAGATGGCAAACTGAAATCGGTATTAGCATATCAAGACAGAGACAGTTTGTTTTTACCCAGTCGGTTTTCATCATCTTCCTTAAATTATGAATAAGGGTCAGTTCCTCTGGCTCACACTGAATGAAACAGAAAAAAAAGACAAAGGTCAAACACTTGCACTAAAGAACCCTGTTCACATTTCTGGGTCTCCCAGCAGCGGAAGTCGTCAGAGTTGGGTAAGCTTAGAGCACAGTGAATAGGAGAATACAACAAATCATTTTTTTACAATCCTACTTGCTGAAATATTAAAAGGAAAACTCAACAATGGTGTTATCAAGACTTTCAGATTAAGGAAAAAATTGTGTGAGATTGATAACGGCAGCCAAAAGAGAGAACAACATCAAATTTAGTGTCCTATTCAAACATCTCACATAAACAGTGATTTGTTTTGTTGTATTTTAATGCAAAGATGATATAATACATACATCAATTTTTTTTTAAATCTATATAACAAAAACCTTAGAGCAGTGGTTCTCAAACTGTGGTACGTGTACCACTAGTGGTGTGCGGAGGAATCAAATATGTCATATGTAAATGCTACTAGGGATGCTCAAAATAATCGATTAACCGTTAACCGAAAGGATGCGTTCGTAACCGATTAATGGTATCAGTTAAACGATTAAATATATTAATTTATTTATTTTTCGTTTGGCTGCATAGGGGGCTGATTGAATGCGCTCTTTGCTTCAAGAGGGGCATTTTTTGAATGGTTTACTAAAAGCCGCAAATGTTTTGCATGCGGCTCATCCCAGAGCAGCAGTTTGTGTTGTCAAGACAACTACAGAGAACTTTTAAAGATGTAGGAGAGACTAGTGCTCGCTGTTTCAAGTTATCCAGAGCTGTATGAATTTGCAAATCTTGAATATCACAATATTATTAAATAGTACAGTTGACAGCAACACTCTTGCACAATCAATACCCAGCTGATTTAATCATTTCATAGTGACATAAAAAAAGAGGACCGCACCTTTTTTCCTTGTCAATATAAAAGGAGTGAGGTGCGCCTCACGTTTTTGGAATGGAAAATCATGTTTGCTGTGATCAGACATATTTGTAAACTTGTGGGACGATAACGTATGACCAAACATGCCAACAGACATATCTGCCAAAGAAGCAAAATGGAGAAAGAATATTGCTGTTTGATACAGACGAGTTGATGCCAAACCTGCGCTTATGCTGATCGCCTCATGGATCTGCATCATACACACAACAAATAGGCTTTACCTTTTATTTTACAGCTTATAATGCAGGTATGCAAATTAATGCAGTACCATATTCAAACAGCAAAACGGTTTATAAAATGTCAACATATGCACGCGTTGTCAGCATTGTCTTTTTATCAAGAGAGCGTGCGCACTTGAACCGTGAGTGAGGAAACCATATAGCGGGACATAATCTTTAAAAACAGGATTTCTATTAAAAATGTAAAAAAGGTTTTGTGATATTACAAATACAGTGGGGCATTAAATAAATGCATATTTTCCGTGGAGCGAGCAATTTGAGAAAGTCTGCTATTTTTATTTGACGAAAGACAAAAACATATGATTGGAAAAAAACAGCCTATGCCAGTTTTTAAAAAGGATCAGTCAATGTTTTTGTTTTGTTCTCTAAATGAATTATTTAAGTGAAAATAATTTAGGGCAGGCTTATTTATTTTATTAATATTATTTAGTTTATTCTGTTTTACTATGCTTTTGGAAACACTGCAGGTGCGTGAAGACGCTCTGTTGTTATGTTCTGTTATTTATATGCTAGCATGTTAAAATAAATCAGTATTTTAAAATGCAATATTTAATGTGTCAGACACAAAATAGATACGTCAATTTGTTTAAAAAATTTTGTAATAATTTATTAGTAATCTGACCAGTTAACCGTTAATAACAGATTAACGAGCGGCGGTTGTAAGTTAGCAAAATTAACCGAAATGAGCATCCCTACATGCTACATATATTTAAAAATTTATTAAAAAATGATTTATATATGAATATGATAACATATAGCCTATATTTTTAGGTGTTGATAAATAGGCTCCTATGTTAATACTTTACAGGAGTACAGGAGTTTTTTTTTTTACTTTTTAAGAACAGTAACCTATCATTTTTAACTTTTAAAAGCCCATTTTAATTTAAATGTTGACGTTTTTGGTCAGTAGTTACGCTACTGTATTTTAATACTGGTCATTATGGTGTTACTTTGAGAGACAATTTTTTCTCTGAGGTGGTACTTGATGAAAAATCACTGACTTAGAAGATTTAAGATGCACATGACCCTTACACGAATCATAACAGTCTTGTGGAAAGGGTCAATACAAATGACTAGATAATAATAAGTATTCTAAAATTGTTACGTAAAGTTAGGTTTTATAGATGGGATATCCAATAATACAAAATTATTATCCCTCCTGTGAAATGTACATGACCATACCATAGTTCTGTCTTCCTTTTTAAGAGTTGTGTTGCCCCAAAGAGCATTTACTCCATCCACAGCCACCGCCAACTTAAAGACCTCCTCGCCCTCTGTGGTAGCCCCTGCCTGAAGCCTCAGCTCTCGCAGCACTGCACCGACCACATCACTGCTGCTCTTCATGCGGTTCACACCCTGTTTAAATCATACATTTAAATTCATTTTTTAAATCTCATTTATTAATCCTGGTGCTGCTCTAATGCCATGACCCCAATAGTATAGAAGAAATCCTGTGCAATCTTATTTTTTTTAAAGACACAAAAGGACAGCACAGTGGCTTAGTGGTAAGCACTGTCGCCTCACAGCAAGAAGGTCGCTGATTTGAGCCCCGGCTAAGCCAGTTAGCATTTCTGTCTGGAGTTTGAATGTTCTCCCATGTTGGCGTGGGTTTCCTACGGGTGATACGGTCTTCCCCACAGTCCAAAGACATGCGCTACAGGTGAATTGGGTAAACAAAATTGGGCTTAGTATATGAGTGTGTGTGTGATTGTAAGAGTGTAAGGGGGTTTCCCAGTACTGGGTTTTGGCTAGAAGGCCATCAACTGTGTAAAACATATGCTGGAATAGTTGGCGGTTTATTCCGTTGTGGTGACCCCTGACAAATAAGGAACTAAGCCAAAGGACAATTAATAAATTAAAAAACACAAAATGATCAAATAATGGTGAAATTGTAGGCATCAACGAGTTTATTTTGTGCATGACTGCACATTCATAAAACTAACATTCATTCAAATCAAGATCAAGCAATAGTCTTCCCTTTTCATGAATCTTGATTTCTTAAAATGATGCCCTTGTTTTTTTGGTTGAGTTGGTGTGAACAGTGGTTATAATAGAGATTTGCGTTGGACCATTCTAGGATATAAAAAAAAAAAACATATTGCTTTTAATTGTTCACGGCCACTATAGAGATGCAGTTTAGTTCCTCTTTTGTGGTTAAAAAAAAATGAAGAGAACATGTCATTGGAAAAACACCAGAGAGATTTAATTAAGGACTGACTTAGTATTACTTTGTGATCTATCCTTACAAAAAAAAAAAAGAAAAACAAAGTGAAAATTAAAACTAAATTATTAAAGTGTGAATATCAGGATGTGGCCAGTTAAAGATTTTAAATGATGAGCAAGAATAAATCTCACCTGATCAATAAGCTCGCCTAAAGTCCGGCCCTCTTCAGTACTCTCTCTCTTTGTCCAAACATATCGCCGTGTTGTCTTTATCTGTCATTTGATCAGATCAAAACAATAAACTTATGAAAAAAATAACATCTTCATGTAGTACGATGGTACATTTAAAAAAAATGCATAAAAATAATAAAATATTATAAATAAATGTATTTTATGTATTTGTATTTTAAATGTATTTGTATTTTAAAAACTATTAAAAATAAAATTACTATGGTAAACTAAAATAATTACGCTACAATAAAAACACTTAACCAAAAAAAAAAAAAAAAAAAAAAAAAAAATATATATATATATATATATATATATATATACACACACACACACACACACAGTTCTAAAATTATTAGCCCCTTTAAGCTAATTTTTTTTCTCGATAATCTACAGAACAAACCGCTGTTATCGAATAACTTGCCTAATCACCCTAACCTGCCTAGTTCACCTAATTAACCTAGTTAAGTCTTTAAATGTCACTTTAAGCTGTATAGAAGTGTGTTGAAAAATATCAAGTAAAATATAATTTACTGACATCATGGTTAAGATAAAATAATTCAGTTAATAGAAATAGGTTTTTAAAACTATTATGCTTAGAAATGTGCTGAAACAATATTCCCTCCATTAAACAGAAATTGGGGAAAAAAATAAACAGGGGCGCTAATAATTCAGAGGGGCTAATAATTCTGACTTCAACTGTATGTATATGAGAGCAATTCTATGCAAATGTCAACCTTGCCATTAAAAAAATTTAAGTTTTCACAGAAATAGAGAAAACGTTTTTACAATTTTTTTTTTGTGTTGGATTGTATTTTACAGTGCTATAAAAATGTCTCTGTCAATGTTTTCAAACAATTATAGTTTATTTACCAAAATCACAAAAGTTGCAATTTCACATCTGTGACATCCATAACGGAAAAGTGTCACATACATAACAAAGCTTTTTCATGATAAATGAAGAAATATCAAATAAAATAAAATAAATCATGTTTGTTCCATAGCGAACCGACTATGATCCTTTTGATTAGCATAATTTCTTTTGGTCTGTGCTGTTTATTTCACAGAATTTCAACAAAGCATGTTGTATACTGTAAACTGACCGACTTTTTTTGTCACATCCATAATGCATGTTTATTTTCTGATCCCATAACTCTGTGGTTAGTTGTTTTAAAAAAATATAAACTGATGTGTCAATATAATGTAATGTATACTTTCTCTGTGTATTCATGTTTTGTGTATTTACCGCAAAAGTCACATCCATAATGCTGTAATTGCTCATATATATATAATATTTTAAACTGTTATCTTTTGCATATAAAACTTTGTGTACAACACTGTCGATGAATGACCAGTCCTGTGGTCCAGCATATTTTGTATTGATATCAAGAACCTGCAAAGTCTTGTAGATTAATACATATACATGACAAAATCTAAATCTAATTTTGTTAGTTTATCTGTGCAACTATTCATTCATAAGTTCTATTGTACATCAAACACATGGATTTGTACCTTGGATAAAAAGTGTTCGTTGGTGATTTTGAAGTCCTTCAGCCACTGGGTTGCTTGCACTGGCTGGTCAAAGCGTAAGGGATTGTAGGTAGAGGGCAGCATCTCTTTACAGTTCTTAACCCACAGATGAGCTACAGAAAGAACATCATTACACCATCAGAACCCAAACATCATTTCATGCTGTGTTTTGGCTGACAAATGATCAGTGCAGCTCACCATCAGGAACATGCAGGATCAACCAGCCCTGAGTGTAGCAGTAATGCAGAGTGTGACACAGAGAAATGGACTTCCCTGAGCCCGTCTGTCCATCTAAAGCACATTGTCAAGGATTGTGTGGAATATTAGGCTGCATTTACACAACACTAATATAGCCATCAGTAAAAACATTTTCCTCATGCATTAAAAAAAAAAATAGAGATGATTTGTTCTTACCCATATCCACTGTCAAAAACACTGCAGTACAAGAGCCAAGCCAGTAGTTGGCACTGTCATCTTTTTAGTAAACAGTACCTGTGAGAACACCCCTATATGGGCAGTTGTTTATGCCAAATTAAATAGAATCCGGGTTGCAAAGCAAGATTCTAGTTGACAAAATCTAACAAATCCAACCTGGTAAAGATCCGGGGCCTGTACCAAAAAGCTAGATAAGTTGGCTAGATCGTTAAGTTTAATTTGCACCAATTACTCTATGAAGATAGCTCATCTCAACTGTTCCATAATACCATGGCAACAAAGAGTGATTAAAGTTGAGCTGCTTTCATGTCACCTAACATCCAAGACTGGTTTAAACTAAACTGAAGGTTGTTTCATGACGCTTCATATAAGCATTCTCTGTCAATTCTAGGCTTGAGCTTGTGAATAACTGTAGACCATATGCAGCTGAAAGTGTGACACGTGCAGCAAACAGCCAATCACATGACACATGATAGAGCTAGTTTTTATTCAGTTCTTAAGAGAGAGTCAGTACAATTCACTTCTCTGGCAACTGAAGCAAATATTATTTCAATGCAAAGCAACCATCCAGTTTTAATGACGTAGGTTTTCCAATAGCTCAAAAAAGTCATTTTAAAAGTTTTATACAATAAATCAAATTTATGTGTACATATTTAAATGTAGGATTTACATTCATTATAACAATTATAAATAAGGGCTGCATGATATTGAATAAATCTGACATTGCAAATATATATATATTTATATATATTTATATATATATTTACAGTAGTTATAGTTATTCAGATTGATTGCGATACGGAAGCAAATCATGCTTAAAAATATAAAACAAATGTCAAGCAACAATGCTTTATGGTTTTTGGTCAAAAATTGTTTAGGTACAGAAATTGATTATTCAACTGTAAAACAACACTGTGTCGTATTTGTTGTATAAATAATAAAATAAAAATGATCTTTATTAAAGTTACAAATGGTACATTATCTTGTGCCTGCATGCTTTAAACTTGAAATGCTCACACCGTCTCAGGCCTTAAAAACACATGCATGTGTAAAATCCCAACTCAATATTGCACATTCTAGATTTTGAAGTTGCGCATATTGCGATATTGATACTGTAACAATATATTGTGAAGCCCGAGTATAAATACTAGCAGAAATAATTTCAATTCATATATTATGTGTATATATATATCAATTATTAGCAACAAAAGACAATTATGACATCGAAACATGCTTGTTAACTGCTTTGTTGCATCAGGTATACGTCACTTAGTCGAATCTGATCCGATATGAGTTCGCAATCTCTAAATCAGAATAAAACCTAAGCAGGTTAGCCATGCGGTGCAAGTAACTGTGGCGTTTAAAACCAACCCATCTTCTTGAGTCCAAAAACTAAACACAAACTTACTAGGCTAAGAAAACCCAAACCAACTTTGCGCAACAGGCCTCAGTTCTGATCCAAGAATGCCTTTCAATGACATCCTGTCCGTGCTGATGTAAATCCACTTTGCATTTTGTGTGTAATACTTAAGCAGTAAACTGTAAACACTATGCAACACCACTGTCTCCACATACTCTGCCTTTGTTTGTTTATGCTTGCTTTCAATCTACACTTACCTAAACAGCACACATAGGCCCAATCTCAATTCTACCCCTTAGCCCTTCCCCTTACCCCTACCCCTCGCTTTGCGTGTGCATGCCAAGAGGTAGGGGTGTCCCAATTCTCTTTAGCTTGAAGGCGTAGGGCTAAGGGGAAGGGGTGAATAGTCCTTCAAATGACAAATTAGTATTTTTTATCATTATTACGTTTTACGACAAACAAACATGTTTTAATATATTCATAACCGCGTTCGGGTTTTATCGTCATGCTAAAAAAAAACCCGCTAAATTTCGCATTCTATAATCCCTATTAATAACTCCTGTACAGCAGTCCCACAGCATTCTGACACTGGAATACCCTGTCAGTAATGTCTAGTGGCTGTCAATTGACATTTTACAGTGTTTGCTATAATGTTAATGTTGTTTTTGGTGTGTTTACATTGATGAATATGACACTGTGTAAAAACACAGTACAGTTACGATCTTATTGCCACATTAGATCGTTATGATAACATACTATATGCCTTTAGTGATTTCCTGAAGATAAATACCAATAAAAAAACACAACTGGAATAAATAAAGCAGTCGCGATTGTCTGGTCTCACATGAAACATCAGATCGTAAGGACATATGATGACATGTGCAGTGTAGTGCGGTCCCAATTCTTAGCGGTAAATTTTGAAGCCCTTCCCCTTAGCCCTCAGTTGTAAGGGCGAAGGGGAAGGGGTACAAAAATAGAATTGGGATTGGGCCATAATCATTTTCAAGGATTTTCGTTTTTAGATGGTTATATAGAAAAGAAAATTGTGGCATTTTCAAAACTTCCACTTTGAATCCCGTTTTCAAATTCTTGCATTTTGCGCTGCAAAAATAACAAAGTTGTGTAAACATACAAGTTGTATTTTTTTTTCTAAAAAACATTTGTGTGAAAAAATGACACATTAAGTGAAACTGCTCAATGGATTTGGGAATTTTGCGTTTTTTAAGGATACAGAGTACATAACGTAGAGGAGGTTTGTTGTAATCAGCTTTTTTGAGATATGAGATGAGCTCCAGCGCTGCTGGCCTGACCATCACGCAGCCCTCATTAAAAGTCTTAACCTGTAACAAGAGAACAAACATACATCAGTGTATATACATCATACAATTGGTAATTTAAACTAAAAACAACATTAGGTCTGTATTAGATCTATACTAAAGTGCAGACATCGAAATGTTCCCAAACCTGCATCTGAAAGCGTGGGGGGAGTCCATGAGGGAAGAGTTTCTGGATGTGAGTTGGGGGGAGCGTGTAGTACTGCCCAGTGTGTGTTTCAGAATGACATGTCTGAGGAAAAAAAAACATGAAAGAAAAGGGAAAATAATAAATATTAGAATGATTTCTAAAGGATCATGTGACTCTGAAGACTGGAGTTATGAAGTTGAAAATTCATCATTACAATCACTAGAATAAATTATTAAATTAAATGATAAACTACTTTTCAACAGTTATTTAGTAGTGCAATAACATTTCACAGTTTTACTATTTGTACTGTATTTTTGATTAAATAAATGCAGCCTTGGTGAGCAGGAGAAGCTCATTTTAAAACAATTAAAAATCCTACTGACCCCAAACTTTTGACTAGTAGTGTAATTATTTTCTGTGTGTGTGAGATTGGCTTCAGGAAAAAAAAAACACAGTTGTTCAATGACTTGTCTAATTAACATACCGTAACTTGCCAGTGAACCTAATTACCCTAGTTAAGAATTTACGTTGCACATTAAGCTGAATACTAGTAAGGATAAATAAATTAGTTATTAGAAATTATTCATTAAAGCTATCATGTGAAAAAATAAAATCTTCTCTCCATTACACAGCATTTCGGAAAATATTTGAATCAATAATAAAAAATTCACAGAAGAGCTAATAAATCTGTCTTTAACTACAAATTCCAATTTTTCCATTCATTGTTTTATTAAATTAGTAATGGCTCAATTTATTCTAACAACAACAATATTTAATCAATTAATTCTATACCTTTTTTTAATTTTTATATTTTTGTTTTATGCCTTTTTTTATCTGTTTTTATTAATTTAAAAATTAGTGAAACTTAGTGAATAAAACTTTATAAAAAAAAATTAAAAATTAAATGATAAAAATTCCTTAAATTTTTCCCAACAACATTTAGTTTAAATAAAAAACAGAGGGAATAAATGTTTTTGAAATATAATATAAAATAAAGAACACATCAAATGTATTATCATCACTTTAAGAAGTAGAATAATAACTTACCCATTATTGGCTCACTGACTGATCGTCTAATATTCTTAAATTTGCAGATTTTCAAACCAAGCGAGGCATGTAAATGATCAACGTAAACTCCTTGTCCACAATATTTGCAATGAGATTGCAGTGCTGACATTTGACAAAACTGGAACACATTTGTATTCCTGCCCATCGACAACTGATTTATTTATCAGGACCTGTAATAGATCTATCTAGGTGAGGTTTATTTTAAAGGGCCGTGAAACCCCCCTGTTTCAGCAAGGTGTTTTCACACCTCTAGTTTGAAAAAAGTCTGGAAAGGCAAAGGGAAAGAGGGAAGGATTTGGGTAAAAATTGGAGTTTCCATTTTGGCACGCGCTGATTTTCACAGAGGCAAAACAAACACACAGACACAGAGGAGAAAGACAGTGCCTGCGTTTAATGACAGTGGAGTGTTTGCGCACGTCGTATAAGAGAAAAAAACCTCTGCATTTCTCTGTAACTCAGATGCACTTGGTTGGTCAGAAAGCCGTGTGTGTAGACTAACCTGCCACAAACTGCGGTGAAAATTCAACACGATGGTCGAAAATTGTTTGATTGCGGTGTTCACATGTTTATACTCTGAGAGCAGCATTTACAGCAGGGGCCTGTTTCAAAAAGGAGGTTAAGTAAAAACTCAGGGTATTTTAACCCTGAAATGAGAGAAACTCTGGGTTTTCCGTTTCAAAATGACAGGTTTGTTAAACTCGAGAAAGCAGGGTAAGTCAAGCCTGTTTCTGAAAGAAAGGTAACTTTAACTCAGAGTCAGTTACCGTGGTAACTTACTCTGTGAATCTAACCTGGTCCGGAGCAGGTTTTATTCTCTAAACTCTGAGTTTCTGTCGGTCTCCTCCCCTTTTTTAAAGATGAAGCGGTATTTCTTGCCTTAGCCTTACGTCTCCACACCTATTTTAGAGCTCATTTTGGAGATGTGCATAAAAACGATTGATGGAAACGTCATGATTCACATAACTTTTGAAAATACGCATAATAAAACATGTGCATAACCGAGTAGGTTAAACTTTTATTTGATAAGATGCACATAAACTACGAAGTGCACATAACAAATTACAGTATGTACATTAAAAAAAGGTTTGTTAGAGATGATGATGAAAATGTGTGTGAAGGGACAAACCAGCAGACTGAGCACACAGTAGAGCATCTTAAATGTTGTTTTAGTCATTCTAAAATGCCTTAACTGTTTCAGTATTAGTGTATATTATCAATTACCTCCGAGCGTCTGGAGCGCGTCAAGATCTCCGCGTCTGGCTTCAAACGCCCCCACGTGTTCATTGTGTGTCAATTGTCTTCTGAGGCGCAAGTACATTAATTAAATAAAAAATCATTGACGCAGCTTATTCTACCGCAGTAAATTCTATTTTTACTGTTGATATTTGGTGCAAGTTAATCAGGAAGTGACGATTGTGTTCTCTTCGACTCTTTGGATAAAAACGCTGCTTTATTTTTAGGCATTATTCCAGTTTTGCACAAATATGTAATAGCCTATATTTTGATGGAAACACAGCTATTGCCTACATTTTTGTCAAACACAGAACAAAGTCACGTACGAGGCTTTTCTTTTTTTCATAAATAATTAGCTTAACTTTCAACATGCACTGTTACTAGATTAATGGGATTATTATTCTGTCTAAAAATTATTTTATTACTGCCTACCTTCTTAATGTTATATCAACCTCTATCACTTGATCAATAAAAAGGCAGACACACAAGTGCACTGTTAAATCTATTAAAACTGATAAAAATGTATAAAAGTTTAGAAAAAAAAGTATAAACGTCACACATTACATTACCTATTTTATTATACTTAAATGTTTAAATATTTAAAATTAAAAATTACGCATTAACTTGAGCAGCTGTTTTCCCATGCTAACTGTCTCTGTTTCACTGATGGTTGCTTCTTTTTAAATATATACACTCATATTTGCTATAACTTTGCATGAGCAGATCAAGTTCAGCTGGAGAAAGAAATGGTGATCTCTTTTTTAAAGATGTTGCCATAGTCACTCGTAATATCTGCGCTCTATTGATAATGCCTTTTTATAGTCATGGTGTGCGCGCTTAACTCTGAGTTGTTTGAACCTCCTTACTGAAACAGGCCCCTGATCTTTCAGTCCATAATATTGTAGTGATATTAATGTACTGTAAACTAAGTAACTTAGAAATCAATTTGACTAAGGTCTGTCTTTTAACACTGAAAGAGTACAGCTAACAATATGAACTAACTTTGCCATCTGATTAAACAAACAAAGACCACTGATTGCTTACTTAACAAATCTGTAGAGACAGAACAATCAACACAAACTAGATCCGCATCTTTTTTAAAAGGAGACGAGCAGCAAATCGAGATTTCACCATTTCCAGATGCAAAAAGCTCTCGAGTAAAAAAATGTTCCTTACATACGCATTTCTGCTGCGTGTCGCATGCATTGTAATCCACATGCGAGTCAACCTGCGCTCTCATAGCGGGAAAATAAAAACAAAACCTTAGTTGCAGCACATTTATAAACGCAACACTGACGACCCGTATCTCCAAACAATTGCTCTTCTCCTACTTGTTTTGGCAACACAACGTGGCAACTCTCTGCCGTCTAAACACTGTTTCAGGTAAAACAAGGTCTTCAAAGCTAGCATGCATATTAATGAAGTTACACCGCATACACAATAGAGCGCACTGATTGGTTTGAACCAAGTATTCCTCATGAATGAATGCAGCACACTCAGAGACATCACTAAGTAGTAGAATGGGACACATATATGACTCTCAACAGCTCAAAAATGTGTTTTGGTGTTTTGTAATCCTTTAAAGCTGCTGAATAATGTCTAATGTTTTGGGGGCATACCGGATCCTGCTCTGATGTTCTGAAGACTGAAAGCATATTTGGCTCAGCTGATAGTGTTTCCGCAGCAACCGCCTCCAGCTCCTGGCCACTGCTCTGGATGCTGAGACACCTGAACTTCTGCGTTACCTGGGAATGACAATTGATCAATATGAGTGATATTCCTTGATAAATATTCTTAAGTAATGATAAGTAAAAGTAAGGATCAGAAATTAATACATTATGTTTATGACACTTACTGCTGGTCGCAATCGCAAAGACAGTTTGTGCAGATTCATTTTCTGAAAAGAAAATAATAATAAATAAATAAGTCTAATAAATTTGTATATTTACTCTGATAGGTTTTCATACAGGTTTAACACATCCAGGTTTACAATCTATGCTCACATAAAAACGGTTTCCTCATCATTTTTACGCTACGTTAAGCGTTTTCTAATGGACAGTGATATTTTGTTGAAATTTAAGTAAATTAATTTCTATGCAATGTTAAACTCAAACAGAAGTGTCAAGGATCTTCGTGACTTTCACCTTGCAAGAGATGTGGTTGCTGAGAGCATGAACTGCATGGGGCATAATGTGGCTTAGGTACAATATATAAAATGGCGCAAAAAATACTGTAACTTACCTCTAGACACGACCCGACAGATGATTGAAAAACTACGTGTCTCTCAAGCGCTTCATGTAAATCGATAACCTCCAAATGCTGGTTTACATGAACGGTCGATCTGTCACGGGCTACGGGCGATGGAGGTCGCCATGTCTGTTTCAACAGACGTCGGAAGTTACGTCATAACGTCAATGACGAAGACGACCAAGAGGTCAAGGTTTGTCTGGTAAGCGTCAGATATGAATTATGAATAATCAGATATGAAATGGGTATCAAATTAACACGCGGAGAATATTGATGTGTCTACTGTTTTCATTCCCATTTGGCTGCTAAGTTAACGTTAGTTGATAACAACTGTATTGTTAACGTTATTATTAAGTTATGTCCTTCAATGTAGTCGTATATTTCAACGAAATATATCCCTTGAATGTTTTCTGCCCTATAGTTGATTTATATTGAAATATTTTAAGTCTTTTATATTTTACAAGGTTGGTCTTATTAAAACAGTGTTTGTATCGTATTTTGTTATAGGTTTAGCTACTTTTTAATCCGTTTATTCATAATGTGCCGTTGTGTCCATTCCCAAACTTATTAAAATGTTAAAAACATATTGTTTTTTTACTTATATAATGATATTATGCACAATGTTGCTTAAAGTCGTTTGATATTGAAAATCATTGATAAACTAACTTTAATAAATTTAAAAGACATTTATTCAATCAAAACAATTTTTATTTTTATTTTTTTCCAACCCAGTGTATTTTATTTATTTATTTATTTATTTATTTTAATTTTATTTTTTAATTTATTTATTTTTACATTTTCTAAGCTTTTTTTTTGTTTGTTTTGTTGTTTAAGAGAGTCTAATCAAGTGTTTTCCCAAATGCAGTTAATAAATATGTAGGAAAAAATTAAATGAAACCTTGTGATTTCTAAAAAAAATAATAATAATTATAACTAGACAGTAAAGTTCGTCGAGACAAACTTTGAGGCTGGCTTGACAAAGCCTGTTGGTAATAGTTTATTTAGTTTAAAAACAGTTTGAAAAAGTATAAGTAGCATGTTATTAGCATGATTCTAGCATGAATTAGCATGATTCTAGCATGGATTATCATGTTATTAGCATGAGTGTAGTACAAATTAACATTTTATTAGCATGATTCTAGTATAAATTAGCATGTTATTAGCATGCTTCTAGCATGAATCAGCATGTTACTAGCATGATTCTAGAATAAATTAGCATGTCACTAGCATGATTCTAGTATGAATTAGCATGCTACTAGCATGATTCTAGTATGAATTAGCATGTTACTAGCATGATTCTAGCATGAATTAGCATGTTACTAGTATGATTCTAGCATGAATTAGCATGTTACTAGCATGATTCTAGCATGCATTAGCATGTTACTAGCATGATTCTAGTATGAATTAGCCTGTTACTAGCATGATTCTAGTATGAATTAGCAGGTTATTAGCATGATTCTAGCATGAATTAGCATGATTCTAGTATGAATTAGCATGTTACTAGAATGATTCTAGCATGAATTAGCATGTTACTCGCATGATTCTAGCATGAATTAGCATGTTATTAGCATGATTATAGTATGAATTAGCATGTTACTAGCATGATTATAGCGTGAATTAGCATGTTATTAGCATGATTCTAACATGCATTAGCATGTTACTAGCATGATTCTAGTATGAATTAGCATGTTATTAGCATGATTCTAGTATGAATTAGCATGTCATTAGCATGATTGTAGTATGAATTAGCATGTTACTAGCATGATTCTAGTATGAATTAGCATGTCACATAGCATTCTTAGGTGGTTGCTAGGGTATTCTGAGTGGTTGCTAAGTCGTTGCTAGGCAGTTGCGAGGGTGTCCTGAGTGGTTGCTAGGTGGCTGCTAAGATGTTGCTAGGGTGTTGCTTGGTGGTTGCTATGGTGTTCTGAGTGGTTGCTAGGTGGTTGCTAAGGCATTGCTAGGCGGTTGCTAGGGTGTTCTGAGTGGTTGCTAGGTTGTTGCTAGGCAGTTGCTAGGGTGCTCTGATTGGTTGCTAGGTGGTTGCTAAGGTCTTGCTAGGTGGTTGCTAGGGTGTTCTGAGTGGTTGCTAAGGTGTTGCTAGGCGGTTGCTAGGGTGTTCTAAGTGGTTGCTAGGTTGTTGCTAAGGTGTTGCTAGGTGGTTGCTAGGGTGTTCTGAGTGGTTGCTAGGTGGTTGCTAAGGAGTCCTAAGTGGTTGTTAGGCGGTTGCTAAGGTGTTGCTAGGTGGTTGCTAGGGTATTCTGAGTGGTTGCTAAGGCGTTGCTAGGCGGTTGCTAGGGTGTGCTGAGTGGTTGCTAGGTGGTTGCTAAGATGTTGCTAGGTGGTTGCTAGGGTGTCCTGAGTGGTTGCTTGGTGGTTGCTAAGGCGTTGCTAGGCGGTTGCTAGGGTGTTCTGACTGGTTGCTAGGTGGTTGCTAAGGTGTTGCTAGGCGGTTGCTAAGGTGTACTAAGTGGTTGCTAGGTGGTTGCTAAGGTGTTGCTATGTGGTAGCTAGGGTATTCTGAGTGGTTGCTAAGGGGTTGCTAGGCGGTTGCTAGGGTGTCCTGAGTGGTCGCTAGGCCCTTACTAAGGCATTACTAGGCCGTTGCTAGGTGGTTGCTAGGCGGTTGCTAGGGTAATTTGGGTGGTTGCTAGGCAGTTGCTAGGGTACCCTGGCTGGTTACTAGGCAAGCCTCACATACATGCTTGATAAAACATTTATACTTAGTAAGCATTTCTAGCAAGTTACAGTACTTGGCTAGTCAATATTAGCATGTAGCTAATCACTGCTAGCATGTGTAGCATATAGGAAGTTCCGTTCGCTAGCATGAGTCAAACGAGCCAATCTCCAAGTCTCTACGATGTTCTGATGCTGGGATATAGCTGTTGATGAATGGTTGTTAGGGTACTCTGTTTTGTTGCTATGGGCGAGGTTACAGAGTGAACTTGAATGTGGTTGGCCGTCTAAGTCAAATGAACCAACCCCCATGTCTCTATGACACTGCTATGCAAAGATATGCATCTTGGCCTATTTTAATGGAAGTCTATGGAATCAATTTGGGGGCGTGGCTTGTGAGCTTCATTATTATATTGAGATGCTCATTGGTTGTCTGAGTCAGATGAGCCATCCACCAAGTCAATAGGACACTGCTAAGCAAAGATATGCATGTAGGCCAGTTATTAACGTGAGTCTAGTATGAATTAGCATGTTACTAGCATGATTCTAGTACAAATTAGCATGTCATTAGCATGTTTCCAGTATGAGTTAGCATGTCATTAGCATGATTAGCATATGAGTAGCATGTTGCTAGCATGATTGGCAAGTCATTAGCATGTTAGAGTTATAAGCATTTAACAGCACAGCTAATTACATTCTATAGGACAGTTGCTAGGGTGCAGTATGTGGTAGTTAGGGGTGTGGCTAGAAAGTTAAAAGGCCATTAGTGATTGGCTGCTGGCTAGACTGAGTTAAATGAGCTCAGCCATTAGTCTCTATGACAGTCTGATGCAGAGTTATAAGCTCACAAAGTTTAATCACATGTAAAGTCAATGAGAGTTTTTTGTAATGGAAGTCTACGGGACAGTTGCTAGGGTGCAGTATGTGGTAGTTAGGGGTGTGGCTAGAAAGTTAAAAGCTCATCAGTTATTGGCAGTTTGGTAGTCTGAGTTAAATGAGCTCAGCCATTAGTCTGTATGACAGTCTGATGCAGAGTTATGAGCTCATAAAGTTTGATCCCATGTTAAGTCAATGAGAGTCTTTTGTAATGGAAGTCTACGGGACAGTTGCTAGGGTGCAGTATGTGGTAGTTAGGGGTGAGGCTAGAAAGTTAAAAGCTCATCAGTTATTGGCAGTTTGGTAGTCTGAGTTAAATGAGCTCAGCCATTAGTCTCTATGACAGTCTGATGCAGAGTTATGAGCTCACAAAGTTTGATCCCATGTTAAGTCAATGTGAGTTTTTTGAATGGAAGTCTACGGGACAGTTGCTAGGGTGCAGTATGTGGTAGTTAGGGGAGTGGCTAGAAAGTTAAACGCTCATCAGTTATTGGCAGTTTGGTAGTCGGAGTTAAATGAGCTCAGCCATTAGTCTGTAGGACAGTCTGATGCAGAGTTATGAGCTCATAAAGTTTGATCCCATGTTAAGTCAATGAGAGTCTTTTGAATAGAAGTCTATGGGACAGTTACTAGGGTCAAAAAGTGGTTGCTAGGGCGTGGCTAGAAAGTTTAAAGGTGATCAGTCATTGGCAGTTTGATCGTCTGAGTTAAATGAGCCCAGTTAGAAGTCTGTGTGACAGTCTGACGCAGAGTTATGAGCTCACAAAGTTTGATCCAATGTTAAGCCTATGGGATTTTTCCGACAGTCCCGGGACGTTTTTCGGAAAACCGAAAGTCGGATCAGTCTGAGGAGATATAGCAACACGAGTCAGAATAGTTTGGAGGTCTGGAGTGAGTTTGGTGGTAATAGCTCAAAAGCTCTAGTAGGAGATAGAGTTAGAAATTTAGTCTCAGAAGAATAATAATAAAAAAAATAATAACTAGATTCTTAAAGTTTGAGAACAAACTTTGAGGCTGGCTTGTGAAAGCCTGACGGTAATAGTTTATTTAGTTTAAACAGTTTTAAAAAGTATGAAAAGATAGATAGATAGACAGATTAGCATGTTATTAGCATGATTCTAGCGTGAAATAGCATGTTGTTAGCATGATTCTAGCATGAATTAGCATTTTACTAGCATCATTTTAGCATGAATTAGCATGTTGTTAACATGAATTAGCATGTTACTAGCATGATTTTAGCATGAATTAGCACGATTCTAGCATGAATTAACATGTTGTTAGCATGATTCTAGCATGAATTAGCATGTTGTTAGCATGATTCTAGCATGAATTAGTATGTTACTAGCATGATTCTAGCATGAATTAGCATGTTACTAGCATGATTCTAGCATGAATTAGCATGTTGTTAGCATGGTTCTAGCATGAATTAGCATTTGACTAGCATGATTCTAGCATGAATTAGCATGTGACTAGCATGATTCTAGCATGAATTAGCATGTTGTTAGCATGATTCTAGCATGAATTAGCATGTTGTTAGCATGATTCTAGCATGAATTAGCATGTACCTAGCATGATTTTAGCATG